TTGTACTTCGTTCAGTTACGTATTGCTGGCAACGCACTTTTTTTACCTGACTGGAAGGATCAATAGATGGTACTGTATTCGCTAATCATTAACACTCATCATTGGCAGCTGATAGCCAATTCCTCCCAATCGGCAATGTTATCCATTCTATGTCATGGGAACGATGCTCCGCATACACATTCATTTCCATAATTCAGTTGTCTTGATCCGAGCTGATTTGGCTTAGCTACGCCCAAACAAAGTTACATCAGTAGGCACATTCAACACCCACTAACTACCTCAACTGATGTACCTTTGTTGGGCGTAGCTAAGCCAAAATCAACTCGGATCAAGACAACATGAAATAATGTGTGCGTCATTCCATGACATACAATGGTCGGCCATGCCGATTGGGAGGAAGATTGTCTTCTGTGTTAATGACAGGCTCTGGCTACCATCTGATCACTTCAGTCATGCAAAGTGCTGAGTTACAAAGAAGTCCCTGTGCATCTTTGGCTCACCGGGTCCACCTAGTTGACAATGCACAAAGACCACCTTCATATAGCATCATACCAGCATATGTAAAACATAAAATTGCCTGTATCTCTAAACTTTTGCAATCAATGGGGTCTTTAATAGAACAAAGCTGCTCGGCAGGGTGAAAGCGATCTTGTGTCAAAGTATGAAGTTCATCGTGGCCATTATTCCCAGATTCACCCAATGACGCTACCAGCCAAAAATATTTTTTGCTCGTCGTCGAAAAAAATTCAAGAGGTCGACCCGACTCAACTTGGCTGGTGGCGACATTGCGGGAATCTGGGATTGGCCATGATGAACTTCATACTTTGACACAAGATTTTTCAGGCCCATTCTCTAATAAAACCCCACATTTGATTAAAAATTTGGAGATACAGGCACCTTGTAAGCGTGATGCTATATGAAGAGTGGTCGTTCAATGTCAGATCGCTGGACCCTGGCGGAGCAAAGATGCGGAGAAATCTTTCTTGAAGCTCAGCTACTTTGCATGACTGGAAGGATGGAAGGATGATACACTATATACTGTTGACAAAAGCCCATACATTGCGAGCTAACAGCCATTTCTTCACAATAGCCACTGTTTTCCACTCTATGACATGTGAGCGATTCTCCTGCTTCGAACATTCATTTCCATAATTGGATTATGTTGATCCGAGTTGATTTGACCGAGATACAGCCAAAGACGGATTACATCCAATCCACACATCTAATATGCTCTATGTTGCTCAACTGAGTAACCTTGTATGAGCGTAGCTCAGCCAAATCAACTCGGATCAACATAATCCAATCATGGAAATGAATGTCTGAAGCAGGAGCATCGTTCCACTGTCATAGAATGGGTAACATTGCCGATTGTGGTAACGCGCTCGCAATATGGGATATTGTCAGCGGGCCTTGTCCTCAATAACATCCTTAGTCATGCAAGTGCTGAGTTACACAAAAGAGGTCCCTCTGCATCTTTGCTCTGCCAGGGTCAGCTGCCCGACAACCACTCTTCATATAGCATCACGCTTACAAACAAAAGGTGCCTGTATCTCCGAACTTTACAATGAAACGTGCTGGGGTTTTGAATAGAGCAATGGGCTCGGCTTGGCCAACAGCACCTTGTGTGAAGTTTCACGTTCGATAATGTAACTAGCCCAAAAATATTTTTGGTCGTCGTCGTCGAAGAGGTTGACCCCCAGATCCAGTTTTGGCTGGTAGCGACATTCGCAAATCTAGGATTGGCAAGCTTGATCGTGAAACTTGCCCAAGGTGCTGTTGGCCAAGCCGAGCACATTGCTCTAATAAAAACCCCACGTTTGATTGTAAAGTTCGGAGATACAGGCACCTTTATGTTTGTAAGCGTGATGCTATATGAGAAGTGGTCTTTGTTCATTGCCAAGTAGGTGGACTCTGGCAGAGCCAAAGATGCAGAAGGACCTCTTTGGGTAACTCAGCTAAAAAGTTTGGACTTCAGGGACCTTGCATGACAGGTACGCAATCCTCATTTGGAATGCATGCATTGGCAGCTAATAGCCACTTTTGTGCATTCCCAACTTTTGTGCATTCTATTGTAGGTGGACGATGCTCCTGCTCTAGACATTCATTTCCATGATTAAAGTAGGTTGATCCGAGCTGATTTGGTTGAGTTACGCTCACACAAGATTACTTCAGTTGGGCTACATCGAGCGTGCTTTATGTCCAGAGTGATGTAATCTCTCTTTGGCCGCAGCTCAGTCAAATCAGGTCGGATCAACCTACTTTAATCATGGAAATGAATGTCTAGAGCAGGGGCATCGTTCCCATGCAGTGGATCTCGCAACAATGATGATTGGATAAAAGTGGCCGTTAGCTAGCAACACATGCCTGTTCCTAGATGATCCATAAAGTAATTATACATTGACCCTTTCATTCATGCAAACGTAGCTGTGTTACACAACACGACCCTCTGCATCTTTTGCTCTGTCAGGGTCTAGCTACTTTACATTAAACAAAGACCACTCTTCATATAGCATCACGCTTACAAACATAAAGGTGCCGGTATCTCCAAACTTTACAATGAAACGTGGGGTTTTTATTAGAGCAATGGGCTCGGCTTGGCCAACAGCACCTTGTGTGAAAGTTTCACGTTCAATGTCGCAACTAGCCCAAAAAATATTTTTTTGGTCGTCGTCGTCGTCGAAGAGGTCGACCCCCAGATCCAGTTTGGCTGGTGGCGACATTGCGAAATCTGGGATTGGCCATGATGAACTTCATACTTTCACACAAGATCGCTTTGACCCCGCCGAGCAGCTTTGTTCTCTTAAAGACACCACGTTTGATTGTGAAATCTTGAGATACACCTGTATTTATGTTTTACATATGCTCGTGTAAGCGTGATGCTATATGAAAAGTGGTCTTTGTTCAATGTCAAGTAACTTGACTATGAGAGCCGAAGATGCAGAGGGGCATGTTTGTGTAACCCAGCTCATTGTGCATGACTGGAAGGGTTGATGCGTGATACTTAAACTGTATTTAGTGGATAGTCATGGATAAGCACTTCCTTCCAATCGGCACTGTTTCTCAATCCATTGCATACAAACGATTCTTCTACTCCAGCCCAGCATGCCCATCATTAAACTTTCTTGATCCGATGAGATTTGACTGAAAAACGCTCAAACACAGAAACATCATCCAATATCAGAAGAATCAAATTGGTAAGTTATTTGTAAACCGCCACTTGATAGCCACTTCCTCCCATTCGCCTTTGTTGTCCAAACCAATGCATGTGAACGATTCTCCTGCTCCAACCCATCATGCCCACCATTCAACTTTCTTGATTCGAGGGGATTTGAATGAGCAATGGTCAAACAACGAAGTGTCATCCAAGCATGATTATTTTCCAGCTCTTCCATTCCCGCCATCTTGCCTCCTCCTCCCATTCTCAACTGTTGTCCCATTCAAGTATGATTACCACCTGCGATCGACTGTCCTGCTTCAACCCATCATGCCGATCCTACGATTGCCATGATCCGAAAGCTTTTGACTGAATGGCAGGTCCATGGCGTGTGCACCCCACTACAACCACACCCGCATTCTTGACACCACATCTTCTCTTGTACACTCCTCCACCGCGATCAATGGTAACAGCGTTCATTCCAGCAGTTGCTATTAGCGAGGTCTTCATTCCATTGCCGCGAACGGCGCTCTTTACTTGCAGCAGCTTGCCTTGCAGTCTTTTTCACGTGAAGAGCAGATAGCCATTGTATAGAAGCAGCTTTATTTACATGTAGCAACTTTGTTATCAATGCAGACGACTTCTTACGGATATGTATGTGGATATGGATATGGATATGGTATGTACATGGGAAGGAAGGAATTGATTACCTACAACGCGTGAAAAAAACGTGTATCCATTGTCAACTTGACTTTGATGCTATCATCCTGAACGACTCGTGCATGCGATTATCGTACTTTACACGCATTTCATGGCAACCACAATCATGGTCCTTTGTTCAACCTTTCAACCATGTACAACAGCGGTCACCATCCAACAACTCTATATTTTGACACGCTACGCATATAGTTCACCATTACGCATCAAGTACCCCCCACACGTTCACCCCATCCACCTTTGTACAATACACACCCAAAGGATAGAAACTCCCTACATTGTGTGTTCATGTATTTTTTGTGAGTGATGTTGAATTAAAGGGTTACTTTAATGAACACGAGATTGCATTGCCAACCATTGCTATGTTTCCATCCTCTTTCACGTTTCAGATGGCTTGCTGTAGATAAAACAGCATCCACAAAATCAATCTTCTCGTTGATACAACTTTCTTCTTCAAATGCATGATGATGCTGTATGTACCGGTGGGTATGCAGCATTGTCCTTGCAAAAGCGTGATCATGGTTCAACAGCCAGTGTTCATGCAATTGTTGAAGGTAGGTCATTGTTTGTGAAGGGTGGGTCATGTGATTATCGTTATGTAAGGTGTGCATGATGAATGCCCATCCACGACGCATCAAAGGCCTGTTCTTTTCCCATCATTTCGTGCGACCTGACCATTTCCCCGCATCCTTTGTCCTCCACCGAGCACTCGGTCATCCATACTCTCTTTCTCTTATCTTTATTATCGCAATGAACAGCATCATGGAAAAGACCATTGTCGACACAATCGAGGCTGCTAGTGATGAGCTACGTCGCATTAGCTTGGAGGTAAAGTACAAGGTGTGGGTGTGTATACACGTATGTGTGCATAGGTTAACATGTTGTTATCTTGCTTGATATGTGTAGCTTTATGAACATCCTGAGACTGGAGAACACGAGTATCGCTCATGTCGATTGTTGACCGAGTACCTGGAAGGAAAGGGCTTCAAAGTGACACGTGAGGCAGCTGGCATGCCAACAGCCTTCATGGCCGAATATTCCAATAGCGCCAATGGTCGTCGTGTGGGATTCTGTAGCGAATACGATGCGTTGCCAGGGTACGTATGCGTTTATTGAATCGTTATCTAGACACTGATCATTTGCTTGCTACATGATAGCATTGGACAAGCTTGTGGACATGAATTGATAGCCATTAGTGGTTTGGCCTGTGCATTGGCCACCAAGGCTTTGTTGGAAAAGGATTTGATCCAAGGAACGGTTGTGTTGTATGGAACACCAGCAGAAGAATCTACCAGTGGCAAGATTACATTCGTTCAAGAAGGCCTAGTGGAGAGTCGTGTGGATGTAGCCATGATGATGCAAGTATATACATTACAGGGCGTGTGAATCAAAGGGATTGCTATGTACTACGTGGGAATACTAATGGTGACTGAATTAGTCATCCTGGTCCAGGGGATGGGCTTTATGTCAATTATCTTGCTATCGATTCGGTGACAGTTGAATACTTTGGCAGAGCCTCACACGCTGGCCAAGCGCCATGGAATGGGATTAATGCAGTGGATGCCATGATGCAAGCTTGGGATAATGTATCTATGCTTCGTCAACAGACCTTGACCACCAATAGAATTCACGGCATCATCACCAACGGAGGTAAATCGGTATGTGTGTATACTATGTATCCCATCTTTTCACAATGTGCACGTGATTCATGCATGTTCCCAATAGGCCAATGTGATTCCAGATTATGCAAGCTGTACCTTCATTGCTCGATCCCTTTCAAAGGCACAACTTGCTGAGCTCAAGGTCAAGGTAGAGAATTGTGTCAAGGCTGCTGCTGTGGCAACTGGATGCGATATCAAGTTGCAATGGTCGCCCAAAGGACCTACAGATGGTAAAGAATCAATAATGGGGATGATGTATGTAGATCTAACCTTTGGGTTGTGATACGTTAGATGTGTTCCAGAATGAACCCCTCGCTGAAACTTACAAACATTACATGGAAGCTCAAGGCATCAAGTTTTTACCCAAATCGGTTGAAGAAGGGATTGCCAGTGGATCCACTGATATGGGCAACTTTTCTTATGTTGTTCCCACTATCCATCCATTGTAAGATTGAATGGTGCGTGTTTGTGTCTCTGATGGTTATTAATGTTCCTTTAATAGCTTTGGTATTGGTACAACTGCACCTAATCACACGATCGAGTTTACAAAAGCAGCCATCACTGAGGAAGCCCACAAGGCCACATTGGTCGCAGCGGAATGTCTCGCAAAGACGGCAGCTTCTGTATTCTTAGATGACCAGCTATATCAACAAGCCTATGCATTCTTCGCCAAAGGAAAGCCCCAAGTATAATAATTTGTAGTTGTAGATTACCAACGTGTATTTACAAGTTAAGAGAATGATATACAATGTAAAACGAGAACATAAAAAAGTGCGAGCGTGAGCGATAAGAGATACGAAGAATTGGGATGACTATGGTTGTGAGTGGTTGAATGGAAGAGGGGGGAGGGGGTAGAATGTTGAATTAAAGGAATCGTAGCTGAGAAGGAGTAAAATGAAGTGGTTTCCAATCGAGCTTCTCGGGGACAATGGCACGTTTCCGCTTTCTCTGATTCCGTTCCCATTGTTCAACCACCTTATCACCCAAGCAAATGATGTGTTGACCACGATAATACTTTAGAGCACCAATGTTTTGAAGGGTATGCAGGATATCTTGAGGTGTGATGGATGTCTTTTGAGAGATCTCCTCAATGGTGACTTCTTCGGTGGCAGACAATAGGAACTCAACAATGGTGTCCGTCCAATAAGCACGATACGATAAAAGACCCAAATCCGATAATGGCTTCTCTGGTGATCCTGTCCTTCCTTCTGCTTTGGATAACTCGTAGGAGAATGCAATGAGCAATTTGCCATAGCCATGGCGTTGATATTGAGGCAATGTGAGAATACAAGCGACATTGTAATTTTCAGATGATTCCTTCTCCTTTGAAAAATAGCCGATCAAATGGCACCCCAGCTCATCACGTGCTGTCATGCAATAGAATAAAAAGGGATCGACGTCGTAATAAAGGGTCTTGTGATCGAGAAAGAGCTTGGAGAGTAAACAGAGGTTGCGGCACCAAGTCTTTTGCTTACGACCATCAATCTCGAAAAAGGAAACCTCGTCATGTCGATAGATCTCGTTGCCAGGTGGATGAAAGAGTTGACAGCGCCCGCGATGTCGTTCCAATTGTTTGTGAGAAGCATAGTAGCATAAACAAAACTCACAAATATAAAGGGTGTCACAATATGCATACTCTTGAGGATACGGTGAAAAGTACCATGTCTCCACCTCATGTTTCCCCATTTGGATCTTGTTCAGGTTCTTGACACGGGCCACTTCATTGACGCATTGGGTCATGGAACCAGACGTTCTCAAGTTTTCAATCTCTTGTCGCTTTGAAAACGTGTTTTGTTGCTCTTGTTGCTGATCCTCGACCACTTCCATCACTTCGCCATCTTCATCTTCACCGCCCAGGACCAATTGTTCCTCTTGTTGATCATCTTGTTTGCGCTTTTGTCCAGCTGACGGTGTGCTAGCACGTAACGGGGTGCTACCATGACGTCCCTTGTTGGATCTACTGCCACCTTCAGTTGTTGAAGTCGGAGGTGGTGTTGCAGTCGAATCACGCGCCTTATTCTTCTTTTGATCTGGCTTTGGAAACTCGATATCGCGAGAGAAATCCAAACGCTCAAACGACACCCACTCATCCAAACGCTTATTGAATTCGACATAATGCACATAATACTCTCGCCCTTTGCGTGTCGTCTCCCGTGCTACCAGCACCTCGGCCTTGCGGTACTCAAATTCTTGATTGCCAGAGATCTTTTGCACAAACAACTTGCAATTCAGAGGAGCTGCAATAAACCGTTGGATTTGAGCTTGCTTGGGGTCATCAGACGACCCATCCGGTGTTGCATGCCCATTGGATGAAGGAACTCGATGGTTGGAATTTTTGTTGCCATCTTGTTGCTCGACCGCCCCATTCGATAAAGTGCTGTTTGATTGTGGTGCTGGGGACGATTCAGTGGGTGGATTGTTCTCCATCGTTGACAGATTCGACTCTGGTGGGGCAATCTGTTTATATGAAAACCGTAGTATTTTTCTGTCGACGTAAGCGAGGAGCTGACCAATCATTGCCGGTGTTTGATTTTGACCAGCTGAGCCCATCCATTCCTCATCACGTGATGCTGTCCCATCATTTCCTTGCTCTTTGCTCACTGAAAAAAGAACCATAACACCAGACAAAATGTACGTTTATGATCTTGAGGGGGGAGGTGGATATCATGATGCTCATTGTAAATGTTCTTTTGTTTTGAGATTGTGTATGTGATTTCTCTATCGATGCATGCTATGTATGTATTCTTGTTGTTTGCTTGATTATCAATGGACAATAAACATTCCTCATCACATTCCCTTCTTTCTCAAATAAGCTACATAATATGATGATGGATAATCAAACCATTTTACTGCTACCTCCTACACATTAAGTAAAACTCAAGGAACAAAGGTATGGATCATGGCTTATTGTTGGCCTTTAAATAGAATCAATGGATAGATGATGTACATGTTGTCAACTAAGAAGATGCAAGGAGGAGGAGGAGGAGGAGGAGGGTTTAAAAAGGAGGTCTACATGTTAATGTGTGTGGTTGACAACAGGAGAAGGACACAAGACCTTGACTGAAACACACGGGATCAATCATGTTCTATGCATGCAATAATAACGATGGCACTGTTGCCGAATAAGGGATCGTTAATCTCGAAGCTCTCTTTTTTTCCTCTTCCGCGTTTGTACTCTTTTCCTTTTTCCCTCTTCTTACCAAGGCTTTTGCTTTCTATTCTCATTGCTGTCATGGCAAACAAAGTGGCCGATGCTTCAAAACCGCCTGTCGCTCCGCCTGGATCGCAGTTGTCGTTTGACGATCAGCTTGAACGCCTTGATTTCTCGGGTGATGCCATTGACGCAGCTTTAAGGTATAGACATGGTGTCGTTTTCTCTCTCTCGCAATGGAGTATTCGTATAGCTATCTATGTATGTATTCACATTTTCTCTCTTTACCATACATGGATCTATAGGAAGCTATTGGCCTTAGTACAATTACCCAAAGAGGCTCAACAGATTGATCGTGCTATGCAAGACTTCGCAAGTCGATATCATGAATGCAATCCAGATTTGATGCATAGTCCAGGTACGCGATGGTATGAATGATCCTTGTGGATGTGCTATTGACGACGATGTTCAATGGTCATAGATACCATCTATGCAATTGCATTTTCGATCCTTTTGCTTCATACCGACGCACACAACAAGAATGTCCGACACAAGATGAACAAGGATACCTTTATTGCTCATACCAAGTTGATTGATGAAAGTGAAGATATACCCAATGAGATCCTGGATGTAAGTAAATTATACATAGACACTAGTGATGTGAATCTTGCTAAGCATAGACCATAGATCATGTATGACAACATTGTGTCTACCGAATTTACATATGCCGAGCAGCAATCAAGTGACGATGATGAAGTCAACAAGACATCATGGCTAGGACGACTAGTTTGGAATGAAAGCACAACTTCAGTGGTAGGCAACAGCAACAACAACAATACATCTTTATACTCGGTAAGGTGATTGGCGGGGAGAGGGGGGGTAAACATTCGTTAGTATAAGAAAGGATGTGCTGAATGAAGATAGATAGAACGATGATTTGATATCACGGTTGACTCAGCTCATGCCAGATACAAACACTTGCCATTATACGCGACGCGATATCAACATCAAAGAGATCCACATGGCATTTCAGGATATACGATACTTGTATCTATCGGGTGTAAGAAGCAGGCAACAACATCAACGTCTATTATGGAGCAATGGTGGTAGTGGTGATGATAGCAGTGATCAATCCATGTACCGTGTACGCGTGGTGAAAGCGGCAGTGATGGAGCGTAAATACGACTTGTTACCAGGTGGCAAGCGTACAAGCACACGTGGATGGCGTTCCTTTGGTGTCGCTTTGACAGGCAGTCAAATTGTCTTTTTTTCTGATACGGCGGCTTTTTCAGCATGGCTTGAGAATGATGATGTTGACGATGATGATCAACAACGGCAACAACTCACCCCAACAAAGTCAACAAGCAATCGACCTTACCTTCCATTCTTGCACCCATCGATTTCTACAACAACCATCAGCACCAACGCTGTATCATTCACATCCACTTTTATGACCCCATCACCATCACTACCAGCAGCATCAAGCAATCATGCCATATTACGGCCTGTACAGATCATATCGTTGGAGAATGCAGTGTGCGTCTACGATGAATCATATACCAAATATCCACACGTGATGCGGCTTTTAACAGGAGACGGCCAACAATTCCTATTCAAGGCCAAGGATAATGATGATTTGGATGATTGGATGGCCAAGATCAATTACGTTGCTACCGCAAAGACAAAAGGCGTGCGATTACGACCCGTCAGTGACAACCACATGGAAAAGATTAGGGTACGTTTGATCAATGATTCAATGAATGTGCGTGTGTGTGGCTGATCAACGGGATTTAGGTGACCATTGAATCGTTGGATGAGCATATAGTGGAACTGCAGCGATCCATTGATAAGGATTTGATGCTCCGACGTAATCTGTTGGTATTGGAACCAATGCAACGATCGACAAGGGAAAGGATGATATCTTACGCCGAGACGTTGGGTCGACAATTACGGCAAAAATGGTCAGTGATGCAACAGCTTTTATGCTATCATGCTTTTTGCAAAATGGCCTTGGCACATCCCACTATCACTGGGCGTCGATTTGATCGATCAGCAACAGCACCTATTCTTCTCAGCAATCATCACCATGATGAGGATGATAATGACCATCGACAACATCAACAACAACAACGTCTTGCTGTACGTGACAACAACAACAACAACCATCATCATTCTCTTGAACGTCGATTATCTTGTCCCCCATTTCCTTTTGAGATTGATGACAACCACCCTGGATCGACAACAACACCAACAACAACTGCACAGACATTGAATGTCCCATCCTCATCTTTATTGGATCGACGAAACAGGAGCAACAGCAATCCTTCTCATGATCACAAGGAACTAAAATCAAGAGGAAGAAGTGGATCTGCAGTGTCATCGAGTAGTGTAAATGATGAGATATCGCTAGAAAATGATGAACATGAAGGATCGGATACCCATCAGCAGCATTGAAAATTCATATGACTGGCCATGCTTAATTGGACCACCACACGTTTTGAACTTGTCCTCTTTCTCTCTCTCTCTCTCTCTCTTTTTTTTTTTACCTTCCCTTTTACAACATGTACTGCATGCGATACTTTATTCCATTACTACTCTTGCCATTTCCCGATGCACCGCCTGTCTTTGTCATCTTGTTTCTTGTCTCTTTCTTTTTACACCAAAAGCCATGGTATGTATGGATTGCAAGATTGGAGATCAAGCGTATAGTTTACTGATTGGAGCTATTCTATAGCATTTATTGTACACTCTTGTTGATTGCACTATTCTCTTCTACATGCTACTGGGGACAAGGACGGTGTTGGATCGATTTACATCAATCACATATATTTGACGTACGCAAGGACTCTAACGCAACGTTTGGCCCTGGAGATGGATGGTGGAACTGGAAAGTGACCTTACCTATTGGTCAAGTGAGTTCATAAGAGGATCGACAAACGAGAGCAAAAGCGAGAGAACAACACACAACACAACACAACACAAGCACCATACCCTTCATTGACCCTATCTCATTATCATCATTTATTGTACACACACACACACACACTCACTCACACATACAAAGCGTTTATTTTATCTTCTTCTTCTTCTCCTCCTCTTCCCTCCTCGTTGTTTTTCATTTGATCAAAAGCTGTAGATAAAATGGGCGAAAAGAGAGAGCTGATGAGAGCGAGGTGATGATCCTTCTATTTAAAGCGGTTGTTCATTCATTGTGAGAATGGCGGATGATAAAGTGACACAAAAAGTGAGATGGCGGGTAATATTATGTACTCTCTTTACCTTTTGACTTGGTTGGGGCAGCACACCACCACCACCCCTCACCCCTCTTTGCGGCACATCAAAAACTGTTAGGCTGGAACGTGCTATCTTGTTTATATTTATTGCTTCTTTTTCTTCCTTTCTGTCATTTTGTTCCATCTTCTTTTTCCATCATGGACAGCATTCGCAAGAATTTACGTAAACTTCCTCCAGGAGCAGTCATCAAGGTCCTTCGTAAAGTCTTTGCTTATCCTGCTCCTGCTGCACGAATGATCCTTAATGATATTACGCGCCCACGCAAATCGCATAAACCCTGGATTCACAAAGTCCCTTGGAATCAAGCTTGGTCAGGTTGCTGGATCGGTGAACAAGTCTATAAGCTCGATGAAATTGCTCTCAAACGACGTATCGATCAAGCAGACATTATTTTCTTCAACGTTCATGGTAATATTCTGGCCCGTTCCCCCCTTTTTTACTCTCTTTTCTCTTTATTACACACCCCACATATATATATTTCTTGTGTCACCCAAGCGCTCATATTCTTGTACAACCATTCTAGGCGGTGGTTTTCGTTTAGGCACTGCAACAATGTACATGGATACATACATTCGTTGGATCACTTTTCTCAAGAAAAAGTACAATCTCAATGTGATGATCATGTCGATTGATTACAGGTAAAGTATATTGTTGTCAAGGGGAAGGGGTGTTGTTTTGCATGAAAATGGGTGTTTTGTTGTTAGGATGATCATCATCGCTGATACTCAAATACTTTATTTTATTCTCCTCAGATTGGCACCCGAATACAAGTATCCCAGCCCAGTCGAGGATGTAGTCAAGGCCTATGAGCATCTTGTCAATGATCTTCATGTGGATCCTGCCAAAGTGGTCGTCACTGGTGATTCGGCTGGTGCATCCTTGACCTTGGAAATGTTGTTCTTGACGCACGACCCAAGCATGTTTGAGATTGTCACGGATGATCCTGATGAGGAAGCTGCCGAAGGACCCTTGGTAAGCGAGTTGCCGCGACCTGCAGGTGCTGTCTTTGTTTCCCCCATTGTTACGGATGAGACGACTTCAGAATCCTGGCGTGAGAATACAAAATACGATTTCATTTCACAACACACAGCCAAGGTACATGCCTATAAATCTTTATTGACAAGATCATCCATGACTCACTATTATCATTCAGGTCATCAAACGCGACTATTTTGAAAAGATGCCAAAGGATCCTGATGGTCCTATGGAACAATCCCAAGTCCTTGGTATTGCAAAACTCCAAACAGGTTTCCAGGCCTTCCTCCCCCCACACGTGCTCATGTATGTGGGTGACAAAGAGGTGCTACGTGATGATTGTTTGGATTTGGCGGAAAAGGCAGAAAGCGATGGCGTCAATTGGCAAACAGTGGTAGAGGATGCAGTGCATGATTGGTTTTGTGTACGTGAGGTGGTCAAAGACAAGGCGATCTTGGATCGAGCGGATATTGTGTTTGCCGACTTTTGTTATCGCGCTGTGGTGGTGCCACGAGAAGGACGTCTTTCCAGTTTCATTATGGCAAGCAATCGTACAAGTGAAGGATTAGAAGCAGTTCCTGAAGGTGATGAGGATCAAGTGGGCTCTGATGAAGATGATGACGAGTTTCATGAAGCACTCTCAACAACCGATACAGAATTGGAGGCAACCATCTTGAAACAATTGGATGAACAAATGCCACCTACACCCAACTCGAGAAGTTCCACCTTGACGGTTTACGTCTAATCCCACCTTACATCATCCCAACAACTCGTCCTCTCGTAGCCCACTCTCTTATTACTACAACCCGTCAGCATGCCTCGTTCATTTTCATATTGCATCGTTTTTCTTTAAGCTATTCTTTTGTGTACATATAATCTACCCATTAACTTACTCTCCCACACACGTACCCCAATAAACAAATATTTCAACAAAAATGGTGAGACCATACGTGTGGACCAGATGATCATCTTTTTTTGTGTGTGTGCCTGTCGCAGGATTGGTGAGCATGGTGTCACACATGCACACACACACACCATAACACGAGCTATGCTCGGGGGGTAGCGGGACAATGGCACCGCCAGAGCTATTCCCATAAAGGCAAGTAGCCATCGCATAGTACAATCGGAAAAGAACGAATAAAAGTGAAAACGGGAGATGAAAGAACAACAACTTTTATTAGTGCGCGACGCAAATCAAGTAACGTGAATCATCTTTTACTACATGCCACTATGTGCTGATCACTTGTACACATACACACACACACACGCAACCACCATGGTAAAAAATCCAGTATCATTTGATCCAAAAGAACGTAACACATGGCTATGCGTAAAAAGGGACATGTTATTATGTAGCACCGTGCACATTTAGAGCGTCAATGGGAATTGCGTTGATCCAAAAGACGTGCGTATGTGCGTATGCTTTGCTTGTGTGCCCAACGATTATAATAAGCATGGATCACGTGCGACCAGTGTCTAGCAAAAGACGCAGATCGTGGTGAATTACCTTTCATACACCTTTTATTATGACCAAGCCCCCTTCAATGAATGACTTGTTGTACCAAGTAGAAATCAATTAGAATGCCCATGTTGCCAAGGATTATGGATGGGGATCATTTCAAGTTGCCGCTGGTGTTGTCGAGGAGTCAACAAGCTCATAGCATCTTTCCCGGTAATATCGTTACCATAGTCATAATACAAATACAGATAATGAATGTGTTACTGAAAGAAGGGAGGTGTCAATAAGCGTACTGGACCCGAAGAGTCGGTTGTGAATACATCATTTGTAAAGTGCGATTGACAATCACATGAGTAGTAATGTAATGCGTGTGAGAAACAACAAACGTATCCGTGCGTGAAGGCACAGCCACTCATTAGGATAAACATGTTGCACAAACATTTTCCTCCTCCATCGCGATGATGATGATCAATGCAGGTGTTGTATTATGTGTGTATGTGTAATATGCATATAAATGGCGTCTAGGTAGTACAATGATAGTAGAACGAAAAAGGGGATTTATTACGATGCAAGTCGTTTCTCCACCATTTGAATGAGAAGGTTGGAGTATTTGTCGAGTAAAGCCAAAGTTTCGGGATCTTGTTGTTGTTGTTGTTGTTGTTGATGGGTATCATTGGTAGTAGTAGTAATCACATTGTTGTCGTTGGAAGAAGATGATGGAGGATGTAATGTCTTTGAAATACGTTGAACTACATTGTCGAGCTTGGTTTGCACTGTTGATATAAAGTCGTCATTGCTGTTGTTGGTATTTCGTGCCAAAGTGTATGATTCAAGAACGGTATCAAGAAGAATGATGGCACCATCCAAATCGGCCAGGACATGATCATGGTTTGTTGCTGAAGACGTTGTTGTTGCCAGGCAACCATCACCTCCTCCTCCTCCTACTTTGGGTGTCTCATCGCTTTGCTGAGAATCGCTTTTATCGGTTAGACTGCTGCTTTCTTGTGATGCTTGTTTCTCCATGGCACAAGAGCTACTGCTATTGTCCTCCTTTTCCATGCTTTCCTGGGAATCATTCTTTTCCATGTCGTTGCCCTGGTGCGTGACTAAACCATTTGTTGGGCCATGAGATGTTGCTGCTGTAGGTGACAAAGGAGGTGATGCAATATGAAGAGTAGGTGGTGGTTGCTGTTGATGATGGTGTTCCATTTGTTGTTGAAAATGATTGAGTACATTGTCGATGGTGGTGCGTTGTGTACTTTTACGATCACTACCACCTAGTGATAAGAGGTATCGTGCCGTCAAACTTTGTCGTTTTCTTGCCTTTTCCAACTTGCGTTGTAATTCACGAAATGCAGGTGTATCTCGACCATTAGGGGACATGGTACCGTCGGCTGATGCGGCTGATGCTGCTGCTGGTACAGGTGAACTCATCTCAGCTCGCAAACGATCTTGATCATTTTCATCCATGGCCATACTCTTGCGTGATGATGGTGTATTTACAGATGTCGTACGGCTTAATGAAGGTGTCATGCGAGGTGCCTCACGTGATGTGATTGCTTGTATAATAGCATCATCTGTATTTTCTTCACTCGATCCCTCCTCATCCTCATTGGCATGTGGATGACTTGCTTGTTGCTTTTCTTCATCAGATGCACTCGCTGATTTAGGTCCATCCTCCGTAGGTTCAGCCAAAGTACTGGGTTCTTCATGTGATGTCACCTCAAATGCTGTACCAATCTCATCATGTTCAGGGGCAATAAAGATAACCTCCTCTTCCTGTTCCTCTTCATCATCATCATCGTCGTCATCGTCATCGTCATCATTGACTTCTCTTTCATCACCAGCTTCTTGTCCATCATCATCCATACTCTCTGCATGATTCACCGTGGCACGTTCAGGATGTTGACCAACGCCTCCAGGAAAATCAAGGTCGCTGTCATCTTCATCATCTACGCCTTGAGGCAAAGTGGGCGTTTGTGTTGTCATGGCAACGGGAGATGATGGCAACGTAGGTGGTGACATTGACCCTGAAGGGGATTGGTTTGGTTGTGATGCATCGTCTTTGGTAGAAGATTGATCCGATCCACTTGCCCTCCTTGCATTAAGAGGTGTTCCACTTGATCGCTTCTTTCTCAAAACACCATCACTACGGGGTCGACGATGGGTTTCTTTTGGTGTCCCTGGTGACGATGGTTGTTGTACTTTGCCCAATGCCTCACGTGACATTTGTCGTCTTAATACTGGATTCATTCGCAATGCTGCTACAGGTCCTCCTTGTCGACCCTGATTCAATCCACTACTACCACCCATCGAATTCCCACCGTTTGGACCATAACGGCTCATAGGCGAATAATTTGACCCAATATGACTGTATGTACGTTCTCGAGCACCCGTGGTCGGTACACCCGTATACAATCGTTCCAATTTTCCTTCAGGCGTCTTTCTTCCACTAGCACCTGTTGATTTGCCAAATGTTTTGCATGCTGCTGTTGGGGTTGCAGGGGATGCTGAAGCATTGGTTTGTTTAGGACCTGATGATGGTGATGTTGGGCTGTTGTTGTTTGTGCCATTGTCCACTGGATGATCACGTGATGCTGAGAGTGGGTTATTCCTTCGAGTGGCCATTTTCTTGTATAAATCATCATATTTACGCTCGGCAGGTGACATGGATGAAAATGTTTTACGTTCACCACGTGCCATTTGAGAGATACTGGGTGTGGGTTGAACAGCTGTAGCCGTGGATACACGTCGAAAACGAGGTTTGGCAGCAGCACCACGAATAAGAGCAGCACGTCGATCATCCAACATGTCTTCTTGACTCTTTGCATTCACCACCATTTGTTGTGCTTTGTGTTCCCGATCAATCCAACGTGATTTCATCTTTGCAACAATTTCCTCTGCAATCTTCCATACAAAGACGGTGCCATCGGAACATGTGCTCACCACACGCACTGAGTTGTTGTATGTGCGAATGAATTTCACAGCTGTAATGAGCTCTGCATGGGCACAGACTTTTTCAATACATGCACTGTTGGTCAAATCAAATAATCGTAAACAACGATCCGAGCCACTCGTAACTGCAAAGGTGCCGGAGAATGGATCCAAATCAATATTGATAAGACTTCCACCAGAGTATTCGGCTGATGTTCCAGTGATCGCTTCTTCGGCCGTCTCAGGTTTGCATACGCGCACAGGTTTGCCGGAATCGATACTGAATACGTATAATCGTCGTTCACCCGTCACTGTTGCAATGTATCGCTCATTCACATCAAGAGACATGTCGAATACGGTGCCGCGTCCTGCATAATTGTGATACGTTGCATACAACTTTTCATCCGCTTCAATGCTCCGAAAAATGACACCCTTGTCAGCACCACAGCTGATCAGCTTTTTGGCATCGCGTGTAAATTTCACAGCTGTAATGGAGGAGGAATGATCATCCAATGTCTGGGTCAGCTGATAACCATTGTTGATGTCAAAGACGTGTAATAGCCGGTCACGACTAGCGGTAGCGATCATGTAAGGTGCTCCTATAAACGAATGTGTTAGCTATACTTCAAAAATTAGGAGCAATGTGTGTATACCTTGATAAGTGGTTGGATTGGTTACATCCATGGAAAGGATTTCAGAGTCATGAGCTTCCTGATAGGTGATTTGCTCCCATGTATCCATATCATGCACACGTAAATTGCCATTGCGATCTCCAGTAACAAGCAACTTGCCATCTTGACTCATTTTAAGTGACCTGATCCCAAAATCCGGAAATTGATCTTCAGTGAAATCTAGATTTTACATATTTAGTCAACAGGATCGTCATCATCATCATCATCGTCGTCGTTGTTTGAAATGCTTACCAACATCACGTCTAAACTTTGAAAACTCTGCAGCGTCGGTATCAATGTAGAGCATCTTGATGAGCTCACGCGAATAAATGTTGCGTCGAAGTTGTGGAGATGTAATTGTGCTAGTGCTGCTGCTTGGAGATATGGGTATAGATGCAGCTGAAGGAGGATTAGGAGAAATGGGAGAGCTGACATTGGAGCGTGGTGATGATATCATAAACGTAGATGAAGATGACGAGTGAGGATGAGCGGTTGGTGCTGCAATATGATCAAGATTCCAGAATCGTACAGTGCCATCAGCTGAATAAGTTGCAAATGAATTGGGAGGAATACTGCTGGTGGCGGTGGTGTTGTTGTTATCGGTGATGGTCGGGCAAGGCTATCATCAACAATAATAAGAAAAACAAGATTGCATACGTGTGCATATGTCTCCTTACCTCGATCCCCCATACGCATTCGCTGTGATAGATAAAGCTGCGATACTTGCCAATCTTTTTCAAATCATGGATGTCCCACAAGAATAAACTGCGATCGGAATACACGGCTGTGACCTTATTGGAATTGTCATCATAGGCAACAGCAATGGCATCAGGATAATAAGGCGCATTTTCAGTATCCTCTGTGTACTTTAACATTTCTGGAGAAGTGATGCTGCTGATATCAGTGCCAAGTGGATGGGGCTTCGGAAGCATTCCGCAATATTTCAATGTCCCAGGTTCGAATAATCTATTGTACGCGTATCAGCTGATGACCCCCACTTTGCTCAAAATAGAGAGAGAGAGAGATGACTCACCTGATCACCCCATTTGCACAAGCACAAACCACATAGTTTGGTGACACTGCTATTGAGTATGCACTTTGTGCCTTGTCATCCATTCATGTGAGTGATCCATGTTTATGCATTTCTATAATAGAACGCCTACCTGTAAATCCACCCACTTGTCAATCACTCTCCCTTCCTTGAACATGCAAAGAATCCCACTGTCGGTAAGGAAATAAGCATTGTTGTTGGTACCGCCTCGATCACAGCCAACGGCCACAAAGTTGCTTTCACGCAATGCGCCAAGAATACCGGATCGACCATCCAATACTTGGGTTTCCCGTGAAGATAGATTTCCCTTTGTGTGTATATGTTTGGGTAAATATACATATATATCCAAGCGTGGCTGCTATTTGTCTTACCCGTTTTGGCACACGTCCCCGAGCATCGAAATACCAATATTTGACATGTCGCAGACCAGCTGTAACAAAGTAGGTTCCATCCTTTGAAAATGAAAGCGCATTGACCTTGCTAGTGACCTTGTTGCCTGCCAGCTTGATGCCTTTTCGCCAATGCCATACGTATAAATAGCCATCATGCTATCATATGCAACATGTCAATCCATCCCCCCGGTTAGAATCAAGAAGCTTATGCATGTCCACTCTATATATACCTGAAGTCCTATCGAAACAAGATATCGCATATTGGGTGAAAACGCCAATGAAAGAACACCAAACTTATGGCCACGACATTCATGTAAAAGGATCCGTTCTTTGACATCCCATATCAAGATACGAGGTTGATGGCCCACCTAATGAGGATGCTTGATGATCAGTCACCATGGAACATCACACATACACACACGCTCTCTCTCTCTCTCCTTATTTCCTCATCCCTAGAAAACAAACCCACCCACCCACACATTTTCCATGCCCCACATACATACCTCTCCTGCAGCTAGATAGTTGCCATCGGGGGAGAATGCCAAACAGCTGATTGGCTTAGCACGCGTACTAGCCGGCACCTTCTTCTTTTCCGAGACCGCTGCTTGCACACTGGATAAGTCCGGTTGATGACCTGATCCCAATGTTGATATCGTATTGACGCCACCAACACCCACACTTGACATGAGAGAAGAGGTAGCTGCAACACCTGAAGCTGCTGTGGCTGCATTGATGGCTGCTGCTGTGGCTGCATTGCTGGTATTGTTGCCACTATTGGCGAGAGTGGAAGTGGATGATGATGGTGGATATAGAAATCCCACTTGTTTGTTGCGTTTGTGATTGTAAAGCACCACGACAGCACCAGCTGCATAAGCGATCAGATCCTGTGATTCAGCCGTTGCCAAGATATTGGATGATGCCGTTGTAAGTCCAAGAATCCGTTCCAACTTGAGCTATCATAGAAACATGTCAACCTCATTATCAAGGAGAAGGAAAGGGGGAGATGTGTTTCATACGTTTTGTATGGGACGTGATGGATCTTTACGTTTTCTACGTCGTAAGCCAGGACCACTTGCTGCACTTGTAGCATTCGAGACGTGTGGTAGAGTCGATTGACTTGGCATAGGCTGAAAAGTGGGATTTGCGGATGACGGAGGCGGTACATTTCCAGAATTGACTGGAAACAGGTCTGTCATGGCCGCCACTAATGGTGATGCTGTTGAATGTATGTGGAGAGAGTGGAAGAAGGGAAGAAAATAGTTGTAGCGGAAAAAAGTGAGAGAAAGATGTGATATGGAAAGGGAGAAGGAGCGTGTACCACAAAGAGAGCGGATATGCTTCACATCATGAACTGCGCACAAGCGCACCTGTATTACATGCCCTGTACAGCATCTTGCATGTTGACAAACATACTTTATTCTTGCCATTTCTATTAAAAAGCGCCAAGTGTATAGTATTGCACTTGCTTATCATTCATCAATCGTTCCATACTCTCTGGATCCAATTGGACCATCAACTCGAACGCACCCTTATAATTGGGCCCCATAGCAACCAATGCCACGGGCATTGGATTACTCCAACTTCTTGCCACACTGCTATGCTTGCCATACCCAACATCGTAGCCAGCTACAAATCGACTCCCATCGGACCACATCACATCTTTAGATGTCATTTGACTTAGGGGTGGTAACACCTTGCTTGGATCTTCCAGATTATTCAGATAATGTTCCAATGAATCCATGTATTCAGGATTCACCTTGTTAACATGTTCACGGATACGTTGTGCAGTAGATACCACGGGGCTATGGATCAGCTCATCATGCTTTCCAGGAACAGTAATTGGACTAACGGGAGCCATGTCAATGCCTACTTTTTGTTCTCTTGTATCGTTTTCTTACATACGTAATGTAGTTTCCAAAATAATGCTGCAGCCGTTTATCGGGGTGTGCATTACGCGTGCTCACCACATAGATCAAATTACATTGTCCCTTAAGCCTTCTTGCTTTGACAATGGTTCGATACATGAAAGCCGTAATAGCATCACGTACTGATATCTTGACCTCCTTATTAGGCATTTCTTGTTTCATTTGACGTTTGAGTTCCTGAGCTTTGTCTTCAGTAATAGCAATTATACGTTTCATGGAGGGACCAGGATCCATTGCCATCACGGGTTTGGGGATTTTTTCTTTCATCACGGGATAATCAATGCTGTGGTCGTACTTGGGACTTGTTTTCAATGGTGGACGTTGCCAGTCGTAATACATTTCGATAGGCGGCACTTCTTCATTTCGCAAAGCATAGGCCACAGCACTCATAAACCTGGCAAATATCACACCATCAGCCAACCGATGGCTGATCGAGTATGCAAGTGCCTGGCCACCTTGTAATTGGGTCAGCTGAACACCCACAAGCGGTGTATCAAATGAGGCATAGCGATGAATTGGCATGAGTTCATCCACAGGAACAGTGGTATAACCAAAGCGATTCTTTTTGTATTCTTCAAATGAATCAGGCAACTCGCATACTTGAAAAAGACAACCCTTGTCAAAATCTTGAATAGAAAATCGTCCTCGTGGCTCGGGTGATAAACGACCGGCAAAGAGATAAAATTTGGTCAAGGCTTTAGCAATAGCTTTTTCAAGCTTGTGGACCGGGATAAGACCTCTGCGATCATCCTGTTCAATGAAAACAGCATATTTGGAGTAAATAGTTGTAGTAACATGGCTAACACCTTCTGGTGCTGGATAACTCTTTTTCTCTGGTAGAGTCTCGGGTTGAACAAAAGTACGGTAAATAGGGGGTAAAGGTGCCATTTTGTTGGCAAAAAAAGATACAAGAATACAACCTTTTTATACCATGTTGGTGAATACCGCTAAAACCGGTCCCTTAGCCATGAGGTATAACATCATATTAGATCTTAGGGAGAAGGATGATTTGTGCTTCATGCATTTTTATAGGGCATGATGCAACCCTACGTATCCTATTGTATGTCACAAACGGGGCACTTGCGTACCCGTACTTGCAGTATGCGAGCCATGCGTCATCCAGTGTCAATTGTCTTGGTAAGTATCCACAAAGGTTGTTTGTATTAAAGGGGTGACATGGGAAGGAAGTAAAGGAGTGCGACTGCAAAAAGGGAGTGGGTGCATATGTTTCATATCAAGGACCTCTCACAAGCGCATCTGCATTAATCGGTAAGCCGGCCCAATTTTGGGTCGTTTTTGCTTCATTGTTGATGCTGAAGATCCAATTACGGCAAGTTGTTTCCATTGATGGATGGCTTGCTATGGTCTAGGCAAACATTACCATGCTGGAGGAAGGACACGTTGTTGCCGAAGTAGGGGGTGCCACCATGCCACGTATGATGAAGACCATATCAATGGTCACATTGCAAATCCATGTCACTGGGGTTTGTTACCCTTCTCATTTATACTGTAGCCACTGAAAGCAGCTCCTTGATACTTGTGACATTAAAGGTCGAGATTTACCGAGCAGGAACGGGTCAAAGATAGGGGGAGTGCCATTATCGCGGTAGTTTGTACCGTATTGCTTTCTCTCTCAGTATATCAAGGCTACATTGCTTCACAATAAAAATGAAAGATGGACAAATCGATAGATTGTATTTGAAGAAAAGGACATGTATGGTGTTGTGGTTTAGACACGAGGTAAAAGAATAGCCACGACAAGATGAATAAAATCGAGCGAGAAAAAAGAGATGTGAACGAGGGGAAGAGTGTAAAATGTATGCTGTACATTAAAACGGATCAAGCATGCAGTTATTGACTTGGCCTACAGCATTACCCAAATTCTTGATGCAGCATGTGTTAATAGAGAAGGTGGAAAAGCGGAAAGCGTAATGTTGAGATGTGTTGGCATACGCACTTTTCATCATCATCACCATCCTTATTCAACTGATGAGAGCGTTGCCTCCGAGCGTTCTTTTTAGTAGTACGACGTGGTATGCCTTAAAACAATTCAACCACATGAGCATGGCCAGCATCAAGAGCCATCTTTTATACCGCCTTGCCCATAATGTTGCCTCTTGCAGTCTGGCTCTGGCAATCAAGGCTTGAACAATTGTATCGACTTTGCCAATCCAGCTCGCAAAATGTAAAGCCGTGAATCCATTATGACCGGACCAATTAACATCACAACCCAATTTGATGAGCAGCCGTACAAGTCGATCAATCCACAAATAAGACAACTCGCCATTGTAATAAACCATAGCAGATATTAAAGCTGCAATCACTTGCTCTCATAATCCACCATCAACACAGTACATAATCCACGTGAATTTTCATAGACTGCCATAGCCGTTTTGGTCGTCAACATTTGCCCATATCCAGCACGTGATGTTTGTTATTGTATGCTAATGCATCCTCGTAGGTCTGTGTTCTCATTGTTGCTGTTGCTGTTACTGTATACGTGGTGTTGGTGTTGGGTGGTGGTATCCTGGATACCACCGTTGCCATGGTCACCTAATACAATACGCAATGGCGATTTGAGAGCATCTCCCACACGACCGATTGCCTGGAGACCAACCACTTGCAAAGCAAGTTCCATCAAGGCACGGGATCGCTTTCATCAAAGTTGGTAAACACCTTCAAGCTTAAATGCATGTTCCTCAAATGATACAACAACAGGACCAGCATTGGCAGCAGGGTGGTCGAATACGTAAATTGGCGAGGTAATCATAGTAATACCATCTGCTGCTGGATAACTCTTTTTCTATGGCAACGTCTCGGGTTGAACAAAAGTGTGATAGTAGATGTAATGTTGCCATTTTGCTTTATGAAACATTGGCGGACAACCACCACCCGTATTATAGATTGCGCTGGTGCCGAACGCTTCTGATCCCACCAACCACAACCAAGGAGGATGCCATTACATTGTACGATTAGGAGAAGGATGATAGCATTTAATTCATGCACATACATAGTATATAAGACGTGACGAATCTTTGAGATTTCTATATCATAAATCAGGCCCACCACTTGGAACATTCGAAGCGTGTGATGGTGTCGTTCAACTTTTGATATGGGCTAAAGGTGGGTGTTTCGGACATGTCATAGCAACCATAAAGACTGCTGTGTGTGAAGGGAGTGAAAAAGCCGTAGCCGAAAAGTGAGAGGAAGAAGTGGATAAGCACCTACTTTATTACGTAGAATGCCTTTTCATGCCTTATACATGGATGCTGATAACGTAACATGTATCCACACAAAAAGAAGGGACATGGGCAAACAACAAACAAAATGTGTAATACGTTTATTTGTGAGCAATTAAAAAGCGCCAAGTGTATAGTATTGTACTTGTTTATCATTCATCAATCGTTCCATACTCTCTGGATCCAATTGAACCACCAACTCAAATTCACCCTTATTGTTTCTTGGCATCCCAGCAACCACTGCCATAGGCTTTGGATCAGTCCAATTTCTGGTCACGCTGCAATGTTTGCCGTATCCGAAATCGTAGTCAGACACATATCGACTCGCATCGGACCATATTACATCTTTAGCTGTCATTCGGGACACGGGCTGTGACACCTTGGTTAGGTCTTCCTGATTATTGAGATAGTATTCCAATGAATCCATGTATTCAGGATTCACCTTGCCAACGTGCTCACGGATGCGTTGTGCAATGGATACCAAGGGGCTATGGATCAGCTCATCATGCTCTCCAGGAACAGTAGTCGGACTATGTAACATGAACCATGTTAATGCTTATCTTTCTCTTGGATCATGTTGTTACTTACACAAAGTAGTTTCCAAAATGCTGCATCATCCGTTTATCGGGGTGTACATGCCGCGTGCTCACTGCATAGACCAAATTACATTGCCCCTTTAGCCTTCTCGCTTTGACAATGGCTCGATACATGAAAGCCGTAATAGCATCACGCACTGATAACCTGACATCCTTATCAGGCATCTCTTGTTTCATTTGACGTTTGAGTTCCTGAGCTTTGTCTTCAGCAAAAGCAAATACGCGTTTCGTGGATGGACCAGGATCCATTGCTGCCATGCGTTTGGGGATTTCTTTCATCACGGGATAGTCAATACTGTGGTCGTACTTGGGACTAGGTTTCAATGGTGGACGTTGCCAGTCGTAATACATTTCGATATGCGGTACTTTGTCATGACGCAAAGCATAGGTTAAAGCACTCGTAAACCCCGAAAGTGCCACACCCTCTGCCAATCGATGATTGAGTGAGTACGAAAGTGCCTGGCCACCTTGTAATTGGGTCAGCTGAACACCGAAGAGGGGTGTATCAAATGAGGTACAGTGGTGAATGGGCATGAGTTCATCCACAGGAACAGTGGCATAACCAAAGTGATTCTTTTTGTATTCTTCAAATGAATCAGGCAACTCGCATACTTGAAAAAGACAACCCTTGTCAAAATCTTGAATAGAAAATCGTCCTCGTGGCTCGGGTGTTAAACGACCGGCAAAGAGGTAAAATAGGGTCAAGGCTTTAGCAATAGCCTTTTCAAGTTTGTGGATAGGAATAAGACCTCTTTGATCATCCTGTTCAATGAAAATAGCATATTTGATGTAAAGAGTTGGGGTAATAACTTGACTAAAACCTCCCGGTGCTGGATAGCTCTTTTTCTCTGGTAGAGTCTCGGGACGAACAAAAGTGCGGTAAAGAGGGGGTAAAGGTGCCATGTTGTTTGGCGAAAAAGATAAGAATACAGCCTTTTTATACCATGCTGGTGAGTGAATACCGCTAATCCGCGACCCTAGTCAAGAAGTAAACCATTTTAGATAGTAAGGAGAAGGAAGGTATGATTTCATGTATGTGACATGCAACGCTACGTATTCAACTAGACGTCGTAATGCCGCACTTGCCGCACCTGCATGATTCTAGCCATGGCGCGCAGTATAGCAGCCACAAAATTTATGTATTTGTCAAAAGAGAGAAAGAAAGAACGGGGGAGAAGATTCATAGTAAGGGATGATATGGGAAGCAGATAGTGAAATGTGCAAGGTAATATGCAAGGAGGTGGATAAGCTTCTTCATCTCATCGGCCGTACAAAGGCATATTTGCATGAACAGGAATAGATATTCAAAATAGGGCAATGCCATTATCATGACGTTTTTGTATCTTGTTTCTCCTAGCTACGGTGCCCCACAAGCAATAACAATGGAAGATGGATAAATAGATAGATTGTATTTGAAGAGAGAGAAAAGGAGATTTATGGTGTGTGGTTTAAAGATGAGGAAAAGAATAGTGAGAACAAGATGGATGAAATCGAGCGAGAAAAAAGAGACGTGTACGAGGTGGGGGGAGGGGAAGAAGAAGGTAGAATGTATGTTGTGTATGTTTTGTGTACATTAAAACGGATCAAGCATGAAATTATAGACTTGGCCTACAGCATTACCCAAGTTCTTGACGCAGCTTGTGTTAATAGAGAAGGTGTAAAAAGTGGAAAGCATATTGTTGAGACGAGTTGGAAGCACAGCACGGGCGGTCTCGACAGCTTCAGAGGGAATAAACTCCGAGAGTGGTATACGCACTGTTTCATCATCATCACCATCCTTATTCAACTGATGGGAACGTCGCCTTCGAGTATTCTTTTTAGTTGTACGGCGAGGCATGCGTTTAAACAATTCAACCACATGAGCATGACCAGCATCAAGGGCCATTTTCTCAGCCGTCTTGCCCATGATGTTGCGTGCTTGCAAGTTGGCTTTAGCAATCAAGGCTTGAACAATATCGACTTTGCCAGTCCAGCTCGCAAAATGTAACGCCGTGAAGCCATTGTGATCGGGCTGATTAACATCACAACCCAATTTGACAAGCACCCGTACAAGTCGATCATATCCACAAATGGTTGCCAAATGCAAGAGGCTGTGTTGATTGCCGTTGGTCAAAGACAACTCGCCATTGTAATAATCCATAGCAGAGATCAAAGCTGCAATCACTTGCTCTTCTAATCGACCACCGATACATAGTGCGCGAGCATTCTCGTAGACTGCCATAGCCGCTTTGGTCGTCAACATTTGTCGATATCCAACGCGTGGTGTTTGTTGTAATGCTAATGCATCCTGGTGGTTTGTGTTGTTGTTGTTGTTGCTATTCGTGTTGTTGTTGTTGTTGCTGGTGGTGGTGTTGCTATCCTTGTTACCACTGTTGCCATGGTCACCTTGTACAATACGCATAGCGATTTGACGAGCATCTTCAACACGACCCATTGTCTTGAGACCCACCACTTGCAAAGCAAGTTCCATCAAGGCACGATCACTTTCATCAAAGTAGGTAAACAGGACAACATCTTGGCCTTCAAGCATGAGTGGATGTTCCTTGAATGATACAACAACAGGACCAGCATTGGCAGCAGGGGGTAGAATACATAGCAACGTGTTGGCACTCCAGCAATGAGTTGGCATAGCTGGGTTTTCACCAAACATGCATGTCAATCCTTCGTAAAAGTTAGCGCCCAGCACTGTCACTTCGGCACCACCATAAATTGGTCCTTCCGATGGAATCAATCGATGTAATTTCGGCAAGTTGCTTGATTTGGTACGCTCCATCATGGCATTCTTTTGCTGCATACGTGCATACAAGTTGCTAGCTTGCCATTGTTGTTGTTGTTGACTACATGCCATGCCATTCACTCCATTTGTACGTCGACTACGGTATAAAGGTGCGCTAAATGGTGCCTGTAATGGAACATGTCGTTGTGTACCATTGTTGCTGCTACTACTGCTGCTGCTGTTACTGCTGGATGCTTGATGTGAAGATTCAGGTACAGTAGTAGGGGGTGCTTGCAAGAGATGATCCATGTTGATATCTTCAGAATGCAAAAAGTCGAACAACTCGCCTTGTGGTATCTGTTGGATGTTGTTGCTGAAAGACGATGATTGCGAAGGTTGATGCGAGAGGAAATTTTGTGCACCGCTGGCACTGTGGTTGGATGGAGACGATGTGGCAACACTACCATTATGCTGCTGTCTTCTCTTTGGACTTGATGGAACATCATCGGCTTGTGAAGTAGGTGTGGGTGGTGCCGATACGATAGGGCTTGGGCTGGATACACCAGAATCGGTTTCACCATCATTAAGTGCTTTCCTCTTAACACTCGAAGGCACCTCTGGAATATCAAATTCGGAACGCGTGCGTTTCCTTGCAGCGGCAGCAGCATTGTTGGCAGTGGCAACAGCAGCAGCAGCTGTTTGTACCTTGGAACTCTTATGGTCATCAGTGATCATAATGGGTGGCGATCGACCTGTAGCAAGAACATGGTTCTGGGAATCCTTGACGGTAAAGACGATTCTTTAAAAATGAATTTTCATTAGTAAGTCTCATCGTAGGTGTATAGGTTATGCATATAGATATGTACCTGAAACCAGTTTTCTCACTATGATGCCGGCAGTAACAGGTCACACGGGTTGGTAGAGTTGCTTCGCCTTCATTGAATTCAATGTATTCGCTGCAGTTGAACAAAAGGATCTTGCGTCGTTCTTGTGCCATCACTTCTTCGTCTTCAAGGTTGGGCAAGTCATTGGCGAATAAAGCAGCGAGCTTGGCAGCATTGCCTTCCTTGTTGGCAGCACGTGCAACTTTGTTGTCTCTTTTCCGCTTCAATCGTTTGCGCTATAAAAGTAGTGCTTTTAGTATAACCAGCAAAAGGGAAAATCACAATGACCCTCTCCCCCCCAAAAAAAGTTACCTCTCGATGAACACAGCTGGTGCACATGATGATCTCATTGTCCGGATGACTATCGCATACCACAGCTGCTTCCAAACGCAGTACTTTGGATTCTACTAATGCCGATCGATCATCGCCTTTTTGGTGCTTCCTCTTGAGCTTCTCCTTGGCAACCATATGCTCAGGCAATCGCAAATGTGAAAACTCGGTGGCGAGCTCATTGTTGGCATTGACAAGCTGAATACACACTTTGATTTGTGTTTCTACACGCGACTTGGCGCCTGAAGATGGTAATCCAAGGACCCGAATATGCCAGGGACTCCCGACTTTTCCAGAGCTGACCATGAAATCATTAGCGACAATGAAAATGACGATACCGAACAACAACAGTGATCACTTACAATGATTCTTTTGATGGATCCAGCATCAGCTTGTCAGGTGCGGCATAATTATCGGCTTTCTGCATCTTTGGACCCAAAAGACCATTTTGTCTATTATATATATGATGTCAATGATATCTGAATAGTGATCATGTCAAGAAAATCTTACCCTTGAAGCGCAGCTTGAGCAAGAAAATCTTCAAAGTTGAGGCAATTTCGAGCCAAGACAGGAATGGCATGTAATAATGGATTGGCAAAAGCCTATCATGTCACCCAATGTCAGTGGACAAAAGAAACAAGAGAAAGAGAGGAAAAGAAAGTACATACATTGAGAAGACCACCACCACCGTTGTTGTCTTTGCCTTTGCCTTTGGGCTTTTGTTGCTGTTGTTGCTGTTGTTGCTGCTGCTGTTGAGTTGTTGTCGTGGTTGTGGCAACCGAGCTACTGCCGCCGTCGCTACTGGTCTCCAAGGCCGGTTTCGACGTACCGTCGACGTTGAGCAAGTGTTGGTTTTCAAGACATAGGTTGTCGAAAGAATGACCGGCTGATTCGATCTTGGGGTGTTGCTGTTGTTGCTGATGGTGATGTAGAAGCACTTGTGACGGGTCCATCACTGCAAGGAAAAGAATAGGATGAGTGGGTCAATGTTCCTGTTGTATATACACGCATGTGAGAGTTACCCCCCCCCCCACAAGCCGAGACATTTACCGGCATTGGCATCATGGTGGTTAAGATTCAAGTGTTGTGAGTTGTAGTCGGCTACTTGGTTGAGGAATAAGTCCATGGCATCGTCGTTGGGTTGTTCAGGGGTGGAAGCATTTGGTGAGCTGAGAAGAGAGACGCTGCCGTCAACATTTAACGAGTCGAGAGGAGGTTGTTGCTCTTGCGATTCCATTGAGGACCCCATAGTATTGTTGTACAAGTGGTGGAGGTGGAGGTGGAGGTGATATAGCTAGGATACGAATGGCTTCGTGATTGCTGTATATACACCTTGAAACAAAAAGTTGATGAAAAACGAAAAGAGATGATCGGAACGGAATTCTGGTCAGTGAGGGTGCAAGATACACTTTTTGAGTAACGTCATTTGTGTTGCCCTCTTCTTGAACTTTTTTTTGCCCACATGTCTGTTGTTGTTGTTATGGTATATGCAGCATAAACCTTGATGCAGGACCATCTCTTTTCTTATGCATAAGACCATCTTTGAACACGACAAGTATGTAACCATGCTGTTGTCCTGACAACGATGATAATGGCGGTAGTGTAGTGATAGATACAGTGGCGGGGATAAGATTATTGAATGACAACTAGACTCACGATCGCGTCAAGTGTTGCAGATCTACTATTGCTGTGGAGAATGTCTACCATTCACACTATGTCTCGCTATAGCCCGATCACGCATCATGTATATTCACGACATCTTTTGTGCGTTTGAGACATTGGATGTCCTTCCTCCTGCATTGCCACTTACCCCTAGGTTATATCCTCCCCATTTTTGTAACTCCCCGAGGCACGAAGCTAACGAGTGGACACTCAAAAATATACGTCTATTGCAAAAGTACATGGATATGTGGACCAGAAGTGACCGATCATGATGGTGGTGCGGGTGTCCCAGTTGACATCAATGTGTGTGGGGTAAGAGCATGAATCACATGCTTGCTCTCATTGTATTTCCACCACATGTGAAAAACAAAAAAAACATAATGCTACTATCCAAGCGCACGCTCTCATTTGTCCATTGCCTAGTCAAAATTCATGCTCATTGCTATTCTTGTACGTCTCTATAGGTGACACTCTTTCTAGTTTGCTAACAGGGCTATGACATGGCGGTAGCACATGGGGTCTAATAGACATATGAAAAAGAAAACATCTCCTCACTTGATTATGCCCACTCATGCCATGATGCATATCCGTATTTACCTTTTTGATGGCTTGGTGCTTTTCGTTGAGGGGAGACTTGCTTTTGGTTCGTCCCTGATAGAAAACACTGGCTGTGAGATGCATCACAGCATGTAAATGGGTGATTGGCTGGGTGAATGGTATACGAGCGGCATGATTACAGTGTTTTGAATCAAAAGTGATGCGATCGCAAGTTGACAAGTGCCACACTGATAATCTACAACAGCATATTAAAATGTGGGGAGGAGTTCACTGCTGCACTAGATTAGAAGCACGGGTTGCGATTGTTTGTTGTCACAGTCATCTGATCATTCGAGATCATCTTGCAACAAGCAGATTCTCGTTGTCGTTGTTAGTTGACCACACCCAGCATGGATCTGTGGTAAGGCCTTCTCGGAAAAAAAGGGTGCTATAGCGCGCCATAGCTGGTGCCGTTCTTTCAACAGATGCGTATTACGTGGCTGAGCCGGTAGCGGTGACAACGTTGGTTGCAGCGAGGTTCTTGTTAAAGAGCTATTCTCCATTGCAGAGAGAAAAGGACTTGACGGGGCTCTATATGGATACCGTGGTTGTGGATATACATATGGAACTTTGTTCTATTTACAGTATCGAGTTTCATGGGCTCGCCTGGAAAGTTTCATCATTGTCGTACAAGCAAATGAAATGTGTGGTGCAAGCAAGTGAGCACTCGTCCATATTAAATCAACTTGAAGAATCCATGATGGCTTGCATGCGTAGCGGTGGAAGAAAGTTGACAGCGAGACAGCTATTCATATGAAAATAGTGACACCGTATCAAGGATAGTAGCCCATATCAAACCCATGTGATAGGTGGTACGCGTTTCTTAATAGTATACTTGTCGTCTATTTCACTACTATGGAAGATGATGAGTGACTACGTCAAGCAGCGCTGCTATATAGTGTGGGAATAAAACGATCGTTGATATGTTTATGTTTCCTTCACTGGGCATGTGGTACATGACAGCAGCGGAGAATACTAATACATAATGGTTGCCAGGCAACGCTCACATACAGGATCAAGGGATTATAGAATACAAGCTACTACTACTATTATGTTATCTACGAGCTTGGGTTCATAGGTCACAATTATCATTACAGGTATATGTGTACTAAGATAAATCAAGTATGTATCCCAAAAAAGGAATGAGGATAGGTGAAAGGTAATGATGGGTATGATTTCTCTAGCCATCATAGGGTGGAGGCAAAGCGGTGTGCTCGGAAATAATTTGCTGCCTCAACAATAGAAAGTCTTCTCGATTGCCCATTACGGTTTTCCTATACTCGGTGTAACAGGGGCATACAAAGAAGCCCATTGCCAACGTATTCGATAATGCTTTAAATCGACCTTCTCCTCGATCCAGATCATTTGCAGATGGCGCACGTTCCTCATATGCAGGCAATCCAAATTCATCCTTGAGTCTACAATCCATGATAGTGATGGGTGTTTTAAAGTCGATAATGGAACGCTCAGTGCAATTAGGCATAGAGAGCTCCATACGAATATGCAAGAGGTGGCGTATTTCGATTTCGGGAAAATAAGTCGAGTGCGTCAAAGATTTGCAATCTGGCATTTGGAGAACGAGGCGATATTGAAACGGCTCCACCGTGAGTGGGATGTGAGCATTTTTTGCATTAAGTGCACGACGCAGCTGTGCAAAGGATGCATCGACCATCTCGGGGTCTGTAGCACTGGTTGCTGAATCAAGGTTGATTTTGAATTTCATGTTTTCGCTACGTGCAGCGTGATACTCGGCCAAACGATACGCCTTGTGTTCTTGAACCACCATCGAAATGCACTCAAGTGCCACCCCTTTTTGCTTTGGGACAAACATAAACGTAAGAGGAAAATGTGCACCAGCCACTACAGCCGATTGTTCTAATGCAATGGTTGCTGTACACCAATCCGTATCCCGCTCCATTCGAATCATGCGATCATCACCCGATAATGTTCGCAACACAAGCATGTCTCGTCGACGTTTCCAATTCACCAGTGATCCAGGTCGCCTTACAGTAGCTGATAAATAATAGGATACTTGTGCCATTTCATCTTCAATCGTCTCCACCATATCATTGGATAATGCAAATTGAAAGGGCCATCGATGATCGCCTGCAGGGATCATACCCTTGTCATCAACATCTGGTTGCCATAATACAGCTTGTTGTTCCCAAATTACTTTTTCATGATACAACTTGGTGCCACGAGGTCCTATGCCTAGTAACATTTGGATGAGAATGTAGGTTTTTTTTTGGGATCTTATTCATGTTTCGTTCTCACCTTCTGGCCATTGTGATTGAGCTTTGCCAACAAATTTGACATCCACTAGTGACGCAGAAATAGGTTTTGACAAATTGAGAACAATAGATCCCTTAAGTTCATTAATAGTAGAATGACTTGGTGGGCCACGCAAGTAGATGATGGGTTGTTCTACGTCAATTGACAACTGCTTGCTACTTCCTGACAAGAATGGTACTATTACAGGCATACAAAAAAAGGTGGGGGTGGAGTAAAAGGGAAAAGAAAAAGAGAGAAACAAAGGGCCTGGGGGGAAGGGGTTGCTGCCCGACACATAGCGCACAAACACAACTAAGCATTGGGAGTGGCTCAAGATAAGATGCATCACATCAAGGGTGACACAAGAATCCGATTTGTGCGGACCCATCATTTGGCTTTTTGCTGTTTTCAGCCAATTCCAGACTTTGTATTCTCCCCGCTCCTCTCTTTTAGCCAAAAAATTAGATCCAACAGCAATAGCGCCTTTCCTTACTCTTCCCGAGCACTCGGCACGAAAGATCTCGCACAACTACATATAATCATCCCATTTGGTGCTTGCTGAAAATACACTTTCGGACTACACCGATTGGCCCATGTACGTTTGTGTCTGCATAACACTCTCAGTGCCACAAAAAACAAGAGACATACAACGAGAAAAAGAAAGTTCATTACCACGATGGCTATCGGAGACATACAAAAACGACCTTATACAGTAGCGGTAAGGCCATTTGGGCCGTACCGTGTCACGCACGATGATGGTAGTAGCTCTATCTTCATGGCCACTCTGGTAACAGAGAGAGTAATAAAACATGGTATCGCTTCCATGTGGCCTGTGGATCATCGTATTTCATCCACCCTATGCACTAGCATATCAAAAATCGAGCATCTTGACTCCATCCATAAACGTGCTCTAGCTATCAAAAGGTCGTAAAGCTCAATGTTCAATCCATTTTTGGTTTACGAGCCCATTGTCTTCGGCAAAGGATGCATCTTTTACGTTGTAAATGCTCGCCTGTATGAAGCTTCTTGTATTCCAAATGCTTGTAAAGGGATCCAGTTGGCCTCATTGTACATACAAATGATAAACCCGATGTGTGCATGAACATTTCATGCAACTTTGAAAGGATTTGCCGTGTCCAATTGACGTCAACAGCTAGCGAGTTCATCGTTGACAATGCTTCTTTTATGATAAAAACAGCTCGTGACACCAATCTATGTGCCTGGAGATGCTTGGTATGCCCAATAGTACTAGGCATGGACACTTTTGGGAATGTCAATAACGTGGTGTCAATGAAGCACTTGTCATTTATCGGCGGTCTACAGCGAGGCGCGCACGGCATAATGGGTAGATCATTGTGGCCAGTGATCTCATTACTCTAAGAATACATCAATCGTCATCGTCATCATTCGGATCAGCGACATTTATTTGCTTGTAAATTGCTTGCATGATGTATCTTGAATCAGTCTCGACGTTGTCATTATTATGTTAATGGATCAAAATGGTTGGAATGACTTATGTAGAAAAAGACATCCCTCGTTTCGGCGATATCGATGGGTGATAAAAAGTTGTTTTCAAGGTACGATAAATAGAACCTTATTGATACTAGAATGGATGTTCGAGTAACGACAACGTGAAAAGGTTGTCGAAAGTGCGCATGTGTGTATAGTATTACATGCAGTCAGGACTACGATTCACGGGGTGGCGGCCAGCAATATTGCCGATCCGTGGTCGAGATCTGAATTGTCAAGCAAAAGATGTCACATGGGCAAGTTTCGATTTGATGTCCTAACGATCATGGCACGTGCTAAAAGAAAGCCATATCAAAGGATCGTTTTGAAAGCAAATACAACAGCGTCATGTTCTGTTGCACTGCTTCATGTTTACCGAGGTACGCAAATGAAGGGAAAAAGATAATATTAGCGCGTTCAATATGCCTTGTTTGCACACACAATGATGCACGGGCCCGTGTGTGCGTGTATTTTCAGAAGGTGCATCATGATTTGTTCCTATTTTTCATATCATTGCACGGCAGTGTGCATAGGATGCAGGCTTGTGCACACATTGTTTTTTATTATTCGGGTGTGTAAGCGGTAGTGTGTGTGAGTGAACAAGAACATTGGCAGCATAGCATAAAACCTAGAGGTTGTTTTTTGGTGTATGTGTGCCTCCCTTTGTGTAAGTAATGGATGAGGGAGAGCATTTGGCGGGCATGTACATGTGGCGCACATGAAAGCATACACACATTTGGATGACAAAAATACATTACTCTCATATCAGGTTACGTTGTTCATGTGATAGTATCCTTAAGAATAGTATTGACAACAGCACAGTAAACCGACCAAGGCAAAGGATTTCCATCTTGATAGCTGTGTGGCTGTTAATGACATTTATTGCCAATTGGAAGAAAAAAACAAGCAAAGCCATGGGCACAATGATGTCAGATATTGACGGGGAAACGCAATATTAGTGGCATATTGATGCAAGAGTTGCAGGAGACTAGATGCAAGCAATAAATATGACTTGATTGGGGGAAAGCAGCGAATCATTTGGAAAAGCCAACTCAGAGTCAGGATTTGGTAGTACACAGCCTTTTGCAGGAAACATTAAAAAGAAGCGCGCGCGCAAAAGTGTGCATGTTGCACGCATTGAGAGAGTGCATTGCCATGGATACGGTCGAGCCATGGCATTATTAGGCGGCGGATCAACATCCGACCCATGCCCAGCCCATGGTATTCCTGGAAAATGTGAAAGAAAATAACCAAACAACAAGTATGTTCTCACCCATATGCTTGGTAACGATCATGGATGCATGATTCTAAATGGAACTCTGATGATTGTATGCTCAAACTATATGCTGCATAATAGTATCACACCTACGTTTGATGCGTCTGTGGGTGATGTGTGAGAAAATGTGCGGTGCTTTCAACGGTCTTGGCATTCGCAAAAAGAGCCTTCCTATCAACACATTTACAAATGGTAGAAATGGCCCAGTCTCAAATGCTATAACCCCAAGCTGCCCAGCGTAGTAAGAAATCAATGCAACAATGCATTAGATTTACCGAGCAAACTCAAGTTTAACCTATCATATTGAACCTTGCCCATTGTGTTTCATTGTGATACGATTTGGATCACAAGCAAGGAAAGCAGTGCATTAGATACGTAGATGTATAGTCACAGCAGACACATACATTGGCTCTCCCTGTATCTTTATTTTCGCTCCTTGATGCATATATACATTCAGCACCACCTCCTTCTTCCTTCTCCTCCTTCGTCACCCCCAAGACAACGATCGAGAAATAGACGGAAGATATCCCCATCTTAATATATAAACAACCCCACCTGCATCATCTGCTGCCTCCGTGCTTGACACTTGTACCCGTTTCTTTTAGCCAATATCCCTTCTCATATCACATTTTCTTTCTCCTTCTTTTTCCCTCTTCATTGAACGAGACGCACACGCCAACAATACATCCATTGCCACCCCAAAGCATACACCAATGGATGCCGATTCACGCTTAAAAGCCACATGTTCATTTGCAAGTGAAGCAACAGTTGCACACAAAGGGAGCGGTGTGCTGGCACCATCGCCCCTTTCGCAAAAGCCGCTTTATCCACCATCCTATAATGGCGATGACAACACCAATACCATGTCAACAGAAAAGCATCAACCCATAGAACGATCACAACGTATCAAAAGCAAAATGACAAAGACCAAGTCGCTGTTGTTGAAGTTGTTGAAGAAGTACTGGTTCCTTCTCGGACTTGCATTTGTCATTTCTTTGGCATACGCAGCCCCCGATGTGGCGAGAAAAGGCGGCTACATCCATGCTGAATGGTCGATCAAGTGGGGTAAAGTATCGCATCTATGCTTTTTCGATTAGGCTAAAAATGGTTATTATTGGATTTGGCTGACATGTTGCTTGCTGCAGGTGCTGTTATTATCATCTTTTTGATTTCGGGTCTATCGCTTCGCACACGTATACTCACTCAAACTTTTATGCGTATACGGTTGCATCTACTTGTTCAGCTCATCAACTTGGTCATTATCCCATTCTTTGTATTTGGACTTGTACTGCTGCTATTCAAGCTGCATGTTCCAATGAACTCGTTAGTGCTCATGGGCGTGGTGATTGCAGCAAGTACACCTACCACCGTGTCATCCAATGTTGTCATGACCAAAGCCGCTAAGGGAAATGAAGCAACAGGTAAACAAACAAAGGGGGGCAATAAGGAGGGAGGAATGGTATCGATTGGTTGGGAAAAAAGATTGGCAGGGTGTTGGGTTATCATGCATGCATGCGTTGTTAGTGTTACACACATACGCACACACACACACACACACAAGGGTGCATGGTACAAACACTAATGCGATCGGATGGCACGTCAATCATCAACAACAACAGGGATCACAAAATTATGATAACATTATGGCTCATGTGATTTTTGATTGTTTTAGCATTGATGAATGCAGCCCTTGGAAACGTACTTGGCATCTTCATTTCACCTGCGCTTGTGGATACCTTCCAGGAACCTTTAATTGACGCAACTCCAGAGAATGAATCAGCTCAAGCCGGTGGCAAAGTCGATTTCGTTCGTGTACTTAAGCAACTTGGCATCACAGTGCTGATCCCACTAGTCGTTGGGCAGATTATTCAGATCATGTTTACCGAAAAAGTTGCCAAGATCAAGGTGAAATGGCGCCTATCCGATGTAAGCAGCGTTTGCTTACTCACCATGGTGTGGTCCGTTTTTTGCGATGCGTTTTACTCAGGCTCATTCAACTCAGTGGCCGCTACCGACATTGTTGGCGTTGTCATCATGAACATTGGATTTTATCTATTGTTCTCCTTGTTAGCTCTTTTCCTCGCACACATTCCACTCCCTTCATCCATCCGTGAGCCATCATGGGTTTCTCGTCTACGTTACAATCGCGAGGATACCGTTGCTGTTATGGTAAGTGGATTTCCTTACGTTGCTATGGTAGCAATTAATAGCTGACATTTATTATAGTTTTGTGGAGCAACCAAGACTGTAGCTATGGGTGTGCCATTGATCAATGTGCTATATCAAAATGGTGATCCAGGCACTATTGGGGTGCTATCAACGCCACTCTTGTTGTATCACGTCGAGCAACTCATTCTAGGCAACATCGAAGTTGATATTCTTAAAAGATGGGTATTACACGGGCAGCAACAACAACAGCAACAAGAAGAAGATGTACCATCATCGCCAACCAAGGACATGATGCCGCCACACCGTGACCTTGAGGATCAATCCTTTGTTCATCATCATCCACCTGCTCCACCACCACCTGTCATCATTCAACCTCCCTATGGAAAGCATCAGCAACAATGTGGCAAGGGATCGTCTCCACCCGTTTCACCTGCAGAAACAGTACAAGCCAATGTTGGCTATCTCAATCAACAGCATCCATTATTTGACAAGCATGCATCATCCAGCACAATGGAAGCAAGTTCTTTGGTGGGCGAAGATGACATGGATAAGGAGCACAAGGATCTTCAGAGCAACCTTAGTGCCACACGGATCGAAAAGACAGCTGCTGATGATGACGAGGATATCTTCAGCTCTCCATTCTTTACAGCAGATACAGCCAGCATCTCCCTGGATACGTCACGTTTTTCTACAGACACGTTGGCTACTGCTTACCATAATCATCGTTTTTCGGAACCCGTTACTATGCCTCAGCATCCACCTCCAAAATCGCAACGCAGGTCGTGGTACCGATAGAAAAGCATTATTAGCAGGCTGGTTGGAAAAGATCTAGTTTTCTTGTAGCTGTAAGACTCGCCTATATCTAGTAGTACGTACACCACTCCCACACACACATACACCATCTTTTCCAACCCTTACATCCTACCTTTGCATATCACATTTTACAGTTCTACACATTTTTCATACCACTTTTGTTGTATAATTCAAGCCATATACTTCTTTCCTTAATAACCAGATTCGCTTCGCTCATAAACTTGTGCCTTTTTCTTGAATGGGATCTCACTACCACCTATGGCTATATGTTTACTTACTCATAAATTGCAATTCCCACTTCTTCTTCCACTCCAAGCTTATTGTCTCTTCCTCCCATTCTCAACATTGTCTCATTCAAGTACAACTACTACATGCGTTCGATTGTCCTGCTTCAGCCCATCATGCAAAGGCTACAATTGCCTTGACCCAACACTGCATGCCAAGTCCATGGCGTGTACGCCGCCTTCTTGTCACTCTACTACAACGCATGAGCCTCTCGACACTACACGCTCTTACACTCTCCTCTACCGCAATCAAACGTAACAGCATTCATTCCAGTAGTTGCTATTAGCAAGGCCTTTACAACATCGTTTCAAACAGCATTCACAGCTATATCACTCTACTACAACACACGTTCTTGCACACTCCTCTGCCGCAACCAAATGTAACAGCAGTTGCCATTAGTAAGGTCTTTATCCCATTGTTTCATGCTATTTGCAACAACTTGTTTTGATGCATACGGGTTCAAATGGATGGGGTACCATATCATCTATCAAGTACACGGTAATACAAGCGATCCTCACCTGGTTGAGCTGCGATGGAAAATGACAAAGGAAGCGTGTCAGCAGGGGCCACAGAGGGCTCTTTCTTATTGGACTTGCAATGTTTATGATGGGTGGATGGAGTCAAGTGCAGTGATGAGAAATCCTGGAATGCTACTTTGGTTACTTGGCGCGTCGTCTCCAGGAAGGTTGGATCATGTCACGTGGATACAGCTGAGGATGATGATGCATTGGATGGAATTGACAAAAGATGCTGTGCAGCCATGGATGATATTGTAGTACTCGATTCGATGCATGCAGCAGCAGCTATTTTGCAATCAAGAATGAAAGGTGATTATGACGGCAGCAACCATGAATACAATGATACAATTATCCCTATTGCCTCTAAGTAATCCACCTATATCTTATTCAACTTTCAATGCTGTTCCTTTAACCGATAAACATCCACATTACCATGTACTATACTTCGACTTTGTCACTGAATGAAAATTGGATTTAACGTAATGTTTGGGGTATCATACTATCAAGCCATATGTGCAAGATGTAGTTCACTTGATTGGTTTCTTGAAAAACGGGGAAACGGAAAGAGAGATTGGTTCATTTTAATCATTGTGGCGAGATGCTTTTGTTTTCTCATAACATTGTTACATTCACTAAAACTTCCTAGCTCACAGCTGATAGTTGAATGATAGTGAGGGTCCCAGAACGCTTGTATCGCCAAGGATTCGGGTGTGATGCTGCCCAACAAAGTGTCCTTTACAGAAGCTTGATTCATTGTAAGCTTAATTCAATGGGCTCAAGAAAGAGCGCAATGTCATACAATGTGGCACCAGTACATGAACACACTATGCTTGCCTATGTCATAATCCTATCGTATGCAACCTTATATAAGAACGAGCCATGCTATACGGGCTACCATAGGCCGACATTAGTATGGGTACAGGGGAAATGATCCATTGTTGCAATGCGATCTTGCACTGCCGTGATGCTCAGCGTGTACACTAACTAAGCACCACACACAACGAACGCCGTATACAATGTACATGGGGATAAGATGCACAAGGGAGACTCTCACGTAACGTAAAAGAATAGAAAACGCGGACGTAAACGTCTCCTTCATTCAATACCAAGAGGGTAAAAAGCGCGTTGACAATACCGTGTCCATCCGTACCCCAAGGTAAGAAATCAGAAAGAGAGCCTGTTGTTTTCACATAAGCTGCATGCATCTCTAAGCTTACATTCGCATGATCGTGTAAGAGCAAATAACCGTCTCAGCTACATCACAACACCATTATGCAGTCTCTACCAATAGGATCGACCATTCAACTCGGCTAGTTACACAACAAATCCTTGTACATCTTTAGCTCTGATATGTGTGAGGCCATTGGCAATGAACAAAGACCACCCTTCATATAGCATCATGTGTACAGCATATGTAAAACATAAAGGTGCCTGTATCTCTAAACTTTACAATCAAACGTGGGGTCTTTAATAGAACAAAGCTGCTCGGCGGGGTGAAAGCGATCTTGTGTCAAAGTATGAAGTTCATCGTGGCCATTCCCAGATTCACCCAATGACGCTACCAGCCAAAAATATTTTTTGCTCGTCGTCGAAAAAGAATTCAAGAGGTCGACCCGGATCCAATTTGGCTGGTGGCGACAATTGCGAAATCTTGGATTGGCTACCTTGATCGCGAAACTTGCACACAGGGTGCTGTTGGCCAAGTCAAGCAGGTTTGTTCTCATAAAGACCCCATGCTTCATTGTAAAGTTTGGAGATACAGGCACCTTTATGTTTGTAAGCGTGATGCTATATGAAGAGTGGTCTTTGTTCATTGTCAAGTAAGTGGACCCTGGCAGAGCAAAAGATGCAGAGGGTCGTGTTGTGTAACACAGCTACGTTTGCATGAATGAAAGCGTCAATGTATAACTACTTTATGGATCATCTAGGAACAGGCATGTATTGCTCGCTAACGGCCACTTTTATCCAATCATCATTGTTGCGAGATCCACTGCATGGGAACGATGCCCCTGCTCTAGACATTCATTTCCATGATTAAAGTAGGTTGATCCGAGCTGATTTGGTTGAGTTACGCTCACACAAGATTACATCGGTTGGGCTACATCGAGCGTGCTTTATGTCCAGAGTGATGTAATCTCTCTTTGGCCGCAGCTCAGTCAAATCAGCTCGGATCAACCTACTTTAATCATGGAAATGAATGTCTAGAGCAGGGGCATCGTTCCCATGCAGTGGATCTCGCAACAATGATGATTGGATAAAAGTGGCCGTTAGCGAGCAATACATGCCTGTTCCTAGATGATCCATAAAGTAGTTATACATTGACGCTTTCATTCATGCAAACGTAGCTGTGTTACACAACACGACCCTCTGCATCTTTTGCTCTGCCAGGGTCCACTTACTTGACAATGAACAAAGACCACTCTTCATATAGCATCACGCTTACAAACATAAAGGTGCCTGTATCTCCAAACTTTACAATCAAACGTGGGGTTTTTATTAGAGCAATGTGCTCGGCTTGGCCAACTGCACCTTGGGTGCAAGGTTCACGATCAAGCTTGCCAATCCCAGATTTCGCAATGTCGCTACCAGCCAAACTGGATCTGGGGGTCAACCTCTTCGACGACGACGACGACCAAAAAATATTTTTTGGGCTAGTTGCGACATTGAACGTGAAACTTTCACACAAGGTGCTGTTGGCCAAGCCGAGCCCATTGCTCTATTCAAAACCCCACGTTTCATTGTAAAGTTTGGAGATACCGGCACCTTTATGTTTGTAAGCGTGATGCTATATGACAAGTGGTCTTTGTTCATTGTGAAGTAGCTGGACCCTGGCAGAGCAAAAGATGCAGAGGGACCTCTTTGTGTAACTCAGCTACTTTGCATGACTGGAAGGATGGAAGGATGATACTATATACTGTTGACAAAAGCCCGTACATTGCGAGCTAACAGCCATTTCTTCACAATAGCCACTGTTTCCACTCTATGACATGTGAGCGATTCTCCTGCTTCAGACATTCATTTCCATAATTGGATTATGTTGATCCGAGTTGATTTGACCGAGATACAGCCAAAGACGGATTACATCAATCCACACATCTAACCATGCTCTATGTTGCTCAACTGAAGTAACCTTGTATGAGCGTAGCTCAGCCAAATCAACTCGGATCAACATAATCCAATCATGGAAATGAATGTCTGAAGCAGGAGCATCGTTCCACTGTCATAGAATGGGCAACATTGCCGATTGTGAGGAAATGGCTGTTAGCTCGCAATGTATGGGATATTGTCAATAGTATACAGTATCATCCTTCCATCCTTCTAGTCATGCGAAGTAGCTGAGTTACACAAAGAGGTCCCTCTGCATCTTTTGCTCTGCCAGGGTTCAGCTACTTGACAATGAACAAAGACCACTCTTCATATAGAAACACGCTTACAAACATAAAGGTGCCGGTATCTCCAAACTTTACAATGAAACGTGGGGTTTTGAATAGAGCAATGGGCTCGGCTTGGCCAACAGCACCTTGTGGGAAAGTTTCACGTTCAATGTCGCAACTAGCCCAAAAAATATTTTTTGGTCGTCGTCGTCGTCGAAGAGGTTGACCCCCAGATCCAGTTTGGCTGGTAGCGACATTGCGAAATCTGGGATTGGCAAGCTTGATCGTGAACCTTGCACCCAAGGTGCAGTTGGCCAAGCCGAGCACATTGCTCTAATAAAAACCCCACGTTTGATTGTAAAGTTTGGAGATACAGGCACCTTTATGTTTGTAAGCGTGATGCTATATGAGAAGTGGTCTTTGTTCATTGCAAAGTAGCTAGACCCTGACAGAGCAAAGATACAGAGGGCGTATTTGTGTAACTTGAGTCATTCAGCACAGGCGATGCATGATTCTTGTACGCTAGTTAGGAATAGTTCAAAATGCCAGCTAATAGCCCATTTCTCCCATTCACCTTTGTTGCCCAAAACAATGCATACGAACGATTGTCCTACTCCAGCCCAGCATGCCCATCATTTAACTTTCTTGATCCGAGAGGACTGGAATGAGCAACGGTCAAACAAGGAAGTGTCATCTAGGCATGATTAATTTCCACTTCTTCCACTCCCACTTTCTTCCCTCTTCCTCCTCCCATTCTCAGCTGTTACTCCATTCAAGTATACAATTACCACCTGCGAACGATTGTCCCGCTTCAACCCATCATGTCAACCCTACAACTGTCTTGATCCGATTGTCTTGACTGAATGGCAAGTCCATGGCGTGTACATGACCTTCTTGTCACTCTTCCACAACACACGGGTCGCTTGACACAATACACGCTCTTGCACAATCCTCTACTGCGATCCATCGTGGCGGCATTCATTGCAATGGTTGCCATTAGCGAGGTCTCTACTCCATTGTCTCAAACAGCGTCCTTGACTTGCAGCGGCTTACCTTGCAGTCTTTTTTTTTACATGAACAGCAGATAGCCATGGGCATAGCAACAGCTTTATTTACGTGGAGCAGCTATCTTTGATGCATACGAACTCCTGTGGATATGGATATGGAATATGGGTATTGGTTTGGAGCATGGGATGGAAGGAAATGGATATACACACAACGCGTAGAAGAGGAGCCTTTGTTGTTACGGATCCCTTGTCAACTTGGCCATTGTGTTGACGCTATCATCCTGAACGATTGGTGCATCCGACCCCATGGCAACGATAATGATCATCCTTTATGCGGCCTGTCAACCATCCAGCTCCGTGTTTTGCACGCGATAGATATGTTCGTCGCCACGCATCCAATGCCACCTCGTTTTCATTCATTCACCTGCGGACAATGCACGCCCAAATGATAGAAACTTTCCAGATCGATGTATATCTCCCATTGGAGCAATTCGTTGTAGACCTCTCAATCTATCTCTTGTGAATGATGTTGGATTAAAGGTTTACTTATTGACGAATACGGGTTTGCGTTTGTCGGCCGTGTGGTGGCTGCATGGAAAAAGGGGCTTACAATTAACAAGAAACCCTTTCACCATAATAATATGTGTCTTTGATTGGCGACATGCCTATGTAGGTTGGATCATAATGTTGTTAGCGTTAATAGTAATCCACTGGCTTCTTTGCGCGTATTTGGATCCACCATCAATCTACTTTTTTTCTCTCTCTCTTTCTCATCTCGACGTAAAGGCTTCCTTGCTACAATAAAGAAATCACATACAACGCACATCGAATCGCTACAAAGGCAATTAGCATACTTAGCATTGATAGCTGTTGTTGTTTAGAACAACCATCACGTGTATTATAAATGAGGTATTTATTGACAAATGCATCATGCAAATGATCTCATGCAATGTGCAACATACAAATCACATCATCTGGGATTGACAAGGCATGATTGGCCTGAGTTTGTTGCGCGTGGAGACCAGAACCCAGATTTCATTTCTTGCATTGTAACCCATGCTTTCTCGAACCTTTCAACTTGCTTCTCACTTGGCTCGACCTTATTCTTCTACCACAGCTATGACTGAAAAAGCTACGTTTGCTGCTGGCTGCTTCTGGTATGTATGTCATTGACCCCCCATGGGTCATGAGTGTGTGGATCTCTATACGCATGTGCTTGTGAATGGCTCATTCTGCATTTGTCATCAAGGGGTGTTGAGCATCTCTACAAGAAACACTTTGGCAAGGATGGTATCACCACGAGAGTAGGCTATACAGGTGGCGAGGTCGATAATCCAACCTACCGTCAAGTAAGGCATAAAAAGCACTGCTGTAGGATGATGATGGCATACTCATATGGAGCATTTTTTTTGTACGCTTTCACCAAGGTTTGTTCCGGGGATACGAATCATGCAGAAGCATTGGAGGTGACGTTTGATCCCAAGCGTGTATCCTATGCAAGCCTTGTTGAATTCTTTTACCGAATGCATGATGCAAGTATGCTCAACTATCAAGGACCCGACGTTGGTACTCAATATCGTTCGGCTATCTTTTACCATTCGCCTGAACAAAAACAAGTTGCCGAGGAGGTGACACAACAAGTCCAAGAGAAGCATTACAAGGGTAAAAAGATTGTCACCCAAATTGTCCCTGCTGTTCGCTTTTACGATGCCGAAGAATATCATCAGGTAATTGTGATGGGGATCAATAGTAGTAGCAGCGAGGTACTCAAATGGCAAAATGTAGCTCTACCTGGAAAGAAACCCAAGTGGATATGAGGCAAGTAGTAGAGCATAGAACACAATCATGGATGAATGATAAACTTTGATTAACACGTTACTCCACTAGTGCCCAACCCATTTCTTGCGATGGTAAATCAGTTCAATAATAGGATAATAGAACTTAGGTCATGCAGCACATAGCTTGGATAAAATAACATTCCTTTTTTTCATAATGCAATTTATTGGGCATAAACATTGTTATCCTGAAAGATGATATCATGCACCAAGGGTTGGGAATGCGCTGGGATCTGTGATGCTAATATCAATATCGACAGGCTTCCCACGGCCTGATCGTGTACCATTACCCCGTCGACCACCACCTCCTGTGCGTTGTTGATGATGAGAAGGTTGATCAATCTCCAAATAGACCTTTTCCTTCTTGTTCTTGTTCTTGTGTTTACCCGCCGATTCCTAATTATTTTGAAACAAGGTGCATGTATAAGTCTCACACGCTCTCACGCAATGACACGTGACATCAACAGATGATGCATGTACTCATATACAAGTGCTACTTTACCTTGCCACCGAAATAGACATCCTCTTCCTTGGAGCGTTCCAACACGACTGCATTCTTCAATTGCGATGGATCCACACCTTCATTGGCTTGACGAGCTTCAGGGAGTTTGTAGCGATCATCCAATCCAGGTTGTGTAGCCAAGTATTCATCCAGGGTCTTGTAGTTGGATTCGACAGGTGTTGCTGTACCAGAGCCAGTCCCAATAGCTACACCTTCAGCAGCAGGATCATCAGGAGACAAGGTGTCATTCTCGCTATACATAACGTGGGTGAGTGAGTGAGTGGGTAGGTGCATGGTATATGTTTAAAATCGCGCTACTATTATTGACACGTACGCATCTCTTTCTGCGGCACCAGCTCTTCCCCATCCTTGATTGATTTTCTTCATGTTGTCTCTAAAGTATACGTAACAAGCCGTCAACCAATGCAAATCAACCATGGTTAGTGATATTGTACGTACTGGATACCAGTGCCACTATGTCGATCAAATTGACGTCCGCGGGTAGGTCGTAGGGTAGAGTTTCCTCCTTTTGGGTGATCAAGCATGCTACTGGTTGATGCCAGGCCACCAGCTGGTTGAGCAGTCTCGGTGTTACCATAATCAGTGGCTCCAGCACGATCACGTCCTCGTCGAGAAGGTGGAGATACTACGTAGGTCCAAGTTAGCTATCGAAACCATTGAAACAACAACAATGATGCTTACTAGCGACGCGAGTATGCAACTTTCGAGCAACGTCACGTTTCGAGCGTGGTGGCATAGCTTGTTTGACAGTCTTGGTATTACCAAGTGGATCCGTTTCTTCACGAACGCCACCCATCAAGGCTTCGAATCGATTCGAAGATAGCGTAGTCATAATGGGTACGTATGATTTTGTGTGTGTGAGAGAGTGGGTGAGAAAAAAAAGAAGAGAGAAAGAAAGATGTGTGAATTGACAGCCTGGACCAACGCCGAGGTCATTGTCCAACTTCCGCTCTACACTGCAAACTTAAAACCGCGTGATCCCTTACTTTGGGAAAAGGAGATTCGGGAACTATCATTGCCTGCTTACTTTTTCTTTCATGGAACAACTTTTCTATTGTATTGCATCGAATGTATTAGAATGGATGACTTTTGGTACCAAGCTCTACTACTAACGTATAAATTAAGAATGAATAACAGCGATCTAGTAGGTATATATAGGCGTCTATGGAAATGCTAAGAAATAAACAAGGAGAAGGATGCGAATATGCAGGAAGATAGAGGATGTCTTGTCAGGAGTATACGGATATGTCGGCAACATAGCTAAAATTGCGAAAGTGGTGGAGAGCAAATGAGGATTGTTGTTGTTGTATCTCGGCTGAAGAAAGATCGTCAGCTGTTGTAATTGGTTCGCTCGTGAACATGGAATCAAAGTTCTAAAAAGACACAACACATGCCTTTGTTAAAGATCTCTCTTGACAAGAAAAAGTCTATTTCTTTACATACCTCTGCCGCTGCGGGATTCGTCTAGTAGTAAAATGCATATCGTTAGTACTATTCCATTCCATGACATGTTCCCGTTTTTGCGTAGATTCTTTGTCACACTTACTATGATGGGCACAATAGGCGGCTCCACTCGTCGATCGAGCAATGCAGCCCAATCCATGTCTCGAAAGAAGCCATGATTTAGGATCGTCTTCATATCTTTACGTCTTGCACCAAGCCGTAGATGAGGATTTTTCCGCAAGAGCTGCATAAAAGACCAAAGTTAGATGCCTTGTGTTACCATCAACAATCATGCTTCCTTACCTTTGCAACCAAGTCCTTTGCTTCTGCTGAAAAGTAATACGGCATAATGACGTTCTTGGACATGATAAAATGCATCGTTTCATCTCGTTCCTCTCCTTTAAATGGAGGCTAAAATAAAGATGACGTGAGCCTTTAGCGTAATTTTGAACATGAAATACCTCTCCACCATCCACTTACCGATCCTGTGAGCATATCATAGATAAGAATACCAAGGCTCCACCAATCCACAGTATAATCATACTTCAAACCAGCCAATACCTCTATAAGAGAATCCATTAGTATACGCGTAATCATGCTTTGGCTCCTTTCAATATGCTGTACCTGGTGCCATGTACTCGACTGTTCCACAGATGGTATTGGTTTTGCCGTCCAGAGACGTTTTGGATAAGCCAAAGTCGGTTAGCAGGATATGGCCGCTTCGATCCAGTAAGCAGTTTTCAGGTTTCAAGTCGCGGTAAATGATGCCAAGTGAATGCAAGTGGCTGAGTGCAAGTACCAGTTCAGCCGCATAAAAAGCAGCCATCGATTCTGTAAATGTGCCCGCTGCGCAATAAATAAGTAGTGTTATTATTAGCATCTTATCGTTGCCATCCATCCCCCACCCTCCTAGCGATCCATACCTTGATCGAGATAACGAAAGAGTTCACCACCCATAGCGTATTCAAGGATCATATGCAATTCATCAGCCGTCTGGAAGGCGTAATACAATTGAACAATAAATGGATGATTCACTTGTTCCAAGATCTCTCGTTCGGTCTTGATGTGATTGACATGTAGTCTGAGCGATGCCTTTTTAAGCACCTTCATTGCATATAAAGAACGTGAAGTCTGATGCTGCACAAGGTACACCTTGCCAAACCTACGAGTATTCAAGTATCAGTTGCACCGTATAGTATTACTACTATTGATTACCCCTTGACTTACGCTCCACGTCCAAGTACACATAGACGATCAAAGTCATCGCTCCCAATCTTGCGATAGGATTCGTCGACAACGGATGCAATGTACTTTTGGTCGATTGCCATTGTATAGTCGTGAGCCTTGGAATGGGCCGCCATGTTGTTGCTGGCTAAGGTGGATGTGGAGGATCGATCGTCGTCATTGTCGGACAAGGTAGTTTGGGGATTGTCACATAAACCGAGAACAGCTTCTTCAAAAGCAAACATGGAAAGAAAAAGAAAAGGAAACGAATGTAAGGGGGATGGGGAAAGTGAAATGAATATGCTTTCTGCTGCTGCTGCTGCGGTGTGGGATGGTTACCCGTGAAAGAGATATTAAGGCTGATTGCATGGAGGAGTGTGCTATCGTTTGTGTTCCCCCCAATGGCTTCCAGAATAGGCAATCACCTCCGAAAACAAGCGCACGTCCCTGATACAAACAATAAAAAGCTTGTTCATTCAAACCCTGGATGGTTCATTATTACGTGTATCTTTTCTTTGTATCTATCCATGTTGTACTTGGACAATGCTTACCATCAAACTTTGTGCACATGCACATGAGATCCTGGGTACATCCCCCTACAGCTAGTGGATGCATAATAGGGCCATGTGATCATCGCCACTGATTTGATTACTCATCATGCAACCAATACGTGCTTACATTCTATGGCTGCTAATCGTGATTGTTCGCTAAGGTATCTCATCAGCCATGAATGCCATCATGTCGGCAACGAGAAATCTGATAGTGCATGTACATGCCAATGGTGACGTTGGTTTATTTCAGTATTACCATGATCATGTTGATGAAATTGTTGACCATAGATCAAATAAACAGCGTTGGATGAGATATTCCAAATAGGAGTCAAGTTAAACTTTGAGAGGGTTTGATGCAGGAGACGGGGTGGAAGTATGAAAGTGGACTTATGACACCTACAAGAATCACCTTTCAAGCCGCAGATGAATACCAGCGGTTGATTTTCCATCACTTCGATTCAGTATCCAAGATGCTTGACCACTTTATCAATTCGATCCATCATGACAACAATTCTTACGCACACTAACATATAAAGAGGGCTGTTGTACCCAACACTATCATACGCCCTTTCTTTTTACATACTTGTATTCATATCATCATCAATGACCTTTGGTAAGTCTCCAGGGTAGTCTTTATTATGTAATCCCCAAAATGAGGGTATTTATGCATTCATCTATGTAGCTCACTTCATTGCTTTACCACTTGAAGTGCTCATCACGAAGGTCTAAGAAGTGCTGAAGCGTTTACTCGACAGCTGCAAGATACAGAAGACGAGGATGACCATGAAGCAACAGCAGCAGCATCACCGCCATCAAGCTCTAAACTCTATGGATGGTTATGCCTTTGTGCAAACGTGGCTTGATGCTCGTGAACGGACGAGCATACCGTGGCCAACCATATATGAGGTAGCAAAGCAGAAGGGTCATTTTCGGTCACTCAGCACTTGGAGATCAGTGAAATATGGATATTATAGGTGGAATAAGGGTCACTATTATCATCACAATCATAGCCATACCTATCATCAACACATTGTTATTGCCGTTTTGATACCCTTTTTGATACTCTTAACAATCCAAACTTTTTAAATGCATCACAAAAAAAGCACCTGCGTTGAAAGAAATGCACGCAATAGCAGCATGTGAATGTGTGATTTGATTAAGGGAGGGTTTATCAATAACAAATGACATGGATGACCACTACAGTGAGAGGATAATAATAATGAAGACTTTGGTTGACCACGTGAACTACGTCGGGTATTTTGACAACAATAAGGTAAGGCAATCAAACAAGTTTGATAGAGGAAAGAGAGATGTGATATGCATGATTATACATCATTGCTTTATTTCAACATGGACATGATCATCTAGAGTACATTGCTAGCCATCTATCTAATGAAGAATGCATAGCTTATTGTAAGCCAATGATATCATCTTTGACAGCTCGGAAAAATGATAAAGCCACTAGGAATTCGGCCCTGATGGCCGAATTGGGAGAGCCTTGTTATACTTTGCTTTGCTGTTTCCACCTCCGGGACTTCTTGTTCACTCCTAATCATGTTTTCCAGCAGGCTGGCATCGCTGTCCAGATGTTCAGCACGACGTTCAACCCCTCTTGCATTAAGAACGACAACCCTACGTCCTCGATTCTATAGCAGCCATGCACGTACACGGCTATCGGTTCGATCGCTACTGGCCAAGACGATCGTAGGTGTTACAACAATGAGCGCTGTGGGTGCTGTTGGACTCTATTACACCAATGAGGATGCTCGCCATGTGATGGTGGCGATTCAGCGTTGCAGCACAGCAGGTCTTATTGGCGCACGAGTAGCCCTTGACTATCAGAGGACGCTTTCCAAAGAGTATGCCACTGAAGAAGAATACAAGCAAGCCAAGCGTTTATGCCATAAGCGATGTGCCACGCGTGTACTTGAAGGATTACAGTCGTTGGGTGGTATCTACATCAAGCTCGGTCAACATGTGTCAGCTATGGTCTATATCCTTCCGCCTGAATGGACCGAAACGATGGCCGTATTGCAGGATCGTTGCGAACCCACGCCCAGTGATCAAATTCGAGAATTGTTCCTTAGCGATTATGGTCATTCGATTGATGAGATCTTTGAAGAGTTTGAATGGAAACCGATTGGCGTGGCGTCCTTGGCTCAGGTGCATCGTGCAAGGTTAAGAGCTGGTACCGATGGCAGGGGTCGACTTGGTAACGATGGATGGGTCGCTGTGAAATTACAACATCCCGCCTTGGATGAATTCTGCAAAATCGATATGGAGACAGTCTCGTTCATTTTCGATGTCATCAAGAAAGCTTTCCCTGATTTTGGATTTGCATGGTTGGTGGATGAAATGCGTGAATCGTTGCCACGTGAACTGGATTTTGTGCATGAAGCACGTAATGCCCGCTTGGTGACCCAGAACTTTGCTGATGATATCAAACATGGACGCACAGCATTGACCGTTCCTCAAGTCGTATGGGCACGTAGACGTATCTTGTGCATGGAATGTAAGTTAAAAGAGTGAAATAGCCCAATGTCCATGGGTCGCTGATGGCTTTGTAGTTGTCGATGGTGCACGTATTGACGATCTCCAATACATGAAGGATCACCATATCAACCCCGCTCAAGTCTCTGCTGAATTGACACGTATTTTCTCAAAGATGATCTTTTTACACGGGTAAGTGCAATGGAAGAAGGTGATAAACAACATGTCACTGATACATTATACTATCATCAATCAGCTTTGTCCATTGTGATCCTCGTAAGTTATCATTTGGCTACATTAGAATGATCAATGCTAACCTGTATGTTGTCATATTAGATCCTGGCAATGTTATTGTACGACCAAGCAAGAACCCCCGTACCAAGTATAATTTCGATCTTGTGCTTTTGGATCATGGTCTTTATCGCGACTTGCCGGATGAATTGCGGGTGGATTATGCACACTTGTGGACATCGTTGATCCGAGGTGATGAGAATGGCATTCGTACGTATGCTAAGCGAGTGGGAGGCACCGACACATACCAGTTGTTTGCATGCATCATGACGGGCCGTGCTTGGGATACAGTGACTTCAGCCGATTTATCATCAGTGCGCAGCAAGGGTGAATTGAATCAAATGAGCGAAGGTGCCATGGAATGGCTTGTCGATATTGCTGATATTCTTGCACGATTGCCACGCGTTGTATTGCTGTTGCTCAAGACCAACGATCTTTTACGCCATGTGGATGAGGTATTGCGTTCGACATCAACGGATGATCATTTGACGTATGTCATTATGGGCCAATATTGTGCCAAGGCTGTATGGTTGGATGCTCGTCAAAATATCCTCGATCGTATCGCAGTGATTGGATTGAAATGGAACTTGTTCTCCATGTTGGCACATGTATGGTGGAACTATTACTCATTGGCCGTGATATTGTGGTTGTATCAACAAGGTTCATCATGGTCTCAAGCTTTGATCACTTTACTACAATCGCTTTCCAAGGCAAAAAAGAAGATTGAGGAACGTAAACCATTGAAGAAGAGTAGTCTACAATAGACGTTACCCTGACAACAACATCCAAATGTACATGTAAATTATTCCTAGTAGCTCACCCTTTTCCCCAAACATCACCATCATCATCGTTATCCTAGATCCCCTGCCCTTCTTATACGTGATAGATATAATATAGAATTCCCTGTTGTCAAGCGTTCTTTCTTTGGTGTGTCACATGGGTCATTACGCGGATGTGGAATCTTCTTAAAAAGGAAGCAGCATCCTGCAAACGCTGTCTTTATTCAACAACTACTGGAAACGCTCTTCCTCTACTTTTTGTTGCCATCTTCCACCTACCCCACTTTTCAAAACGTCGTCTCTCGTTGTACCTATCGCTGTTTCGCTTCTTCGTGAAGTCATGTGGAGCAAATTCCTGCATCTTACCGTGGATGCTATGCTGGTATCCACCATTCTTGCCGGCGTCAAACGTACCGCAGGATTACAGTAATGACTCATCTCGCTCACGTTCGTGTCTTGCACCATGCTGATTCTCTTTTCCATCTTGTAGACCAGCAGTATCCAAAATACCCAACAAGGACATCCGAGGCTATGTGGAGAAATATCTCGAGCTTGGCGAATGGATCTTTGATAGCACCTTGATATTGATGAACTCATCGTCCTACTTTGAAAAGAGTACCTGATTACGTTCGAATATACAGACACTTCTTTTTTACCATGTCGAGAATAGGATGACGATGATGATGATTGACAATGGGTTTTGTGGGTTATTGGGAACAACATCGAAAAAGGGGGATTGTGTAGCTCTTTAATTGTCCAAAGAGGGATTGTATCCACACCGACAATGGTTGTGCCGGATGATGATGACTGTACTCAGCAAATAACAATCGAGGTAAAAGGGGAAATGGTGTACAAGTATATTAGAGATCTCGGAAAAGGGTGTAGGCAGTGGGTGTCGGGCTCAATGAACTAGTCCCGCCCGTTTCAACCCGACAAAGAAGTTGTGTGGCCCCCATTGTGATTATTACGCAAGCAATACAATGCCAAGAGAAATACAAAGAGAGAGAGAGAGAATATGTATTGAATGAGAAAAATGATATTAGGATGTATACAAAGTTTGGATTTCGGGCGTGAGTGTTGTATGATACGTTGATGGGGGGAAACGGCAAATGATGGATAATGACAAGAAGAATGAGGAAAGAGGGGGAAGTTGGGTATGTTACAGCTTTACAAATCACAAACACGCTCTACTCGACCACATTCTGATAAATGTAATCCACGGTATTTTATCAAGTATTCGCCATTTGGCCTTGCTGTTACGGTTTTGTTCACAGGACATCCCTAAAAACATCATCCTATTAGTATACATATACAAATATGCAAATCGTATCCCGCCAAATACAGCAAAGTCCCAATCCGATCTCTCGCTCTCTATATCCATCACCATCCTATGTACGCACCTTGTTGCTATTACTGCACTTGTAATAAATACTTTTACAACCCGTTTTCTTTTGCGTGGTGTTGCCATTATTCTTCCAAAAGTAATTATCTTGGTAAGGGAATTCCCGAGTCTCAACAATTTTAGTGATGGCTTGCATCTCTCGTCGTTTCCTTGGTCGTTCCACTACTTCCTCGTCGTAATACGAATCCGGAGATGGATAGGAGCCATAGTTGGTTCTATATGTGTCATGATTCATTGAGTCACACAATCTCTATCATCCGAGAAATAAAATACTTACTGTGATGGAGGAGGAGACGATGGAGAAGAAGAAGATGTGGTGGTGGTGGTAGTAGAAGCGGGGGAGGTATAATCATCAGATGCCAAGGCCACCATGGCTGCGGCTGCCGAGTTGCGACGTTGATCCATGGATTCAATGCTGCGATTGTCTTCAACAACAGACGAAGAGGATGATGAAAGACATGAAAGACGACGCTTGGTAGCACATGAGTGATGTTGATGATGCAAATACACATCGAGCTCTTTTGCTTTTAATTTGGCTTCTTCAGCCCTTCGTTTATCTTCTTCAACCTTGCTAGTCAGGATGAGCTTGAGTAGATCAGGATGTGATTTGTATTGTTCCACCAAGTCATGTAGATCAAGCTTTTCGGGTTGCTGTTGTTGTTGTTGATGATGCTGTGTTGATGATGGTGATGATGGTGAATGTAAAGAAGTTGACATGATTGAATAGAGGGAATCGAAAAGAAAGAAAAAAGTAAAAGAGAGAAGGGGAAAAAGGAGGGAAACGTTAAATAAGCGCGGGGAAAGTGGGGGTGACAAGAGAAAAATTCCCAAGTATGGACAGGGCCTGAAAAACTGCATGATGATATTCTAAGTGGTCCCTTCTCACCCCCCACCTTCACACGAGATTTTCATATGGTACCATGCCGAGCTTTTCCTTTGTGCCCTTACCTCACCACTCATTCCAATCCTTATCTCCGCAGCTTGCATGGCTATACTCTCATGCGATGATTATTCATTTACTTCATGTTTCTTTTCAGCAGCTGCACTAGCACCAGCAGCAACAGCAACATCCTATCTTTATTATGTACATCATGTTGAGGAAGCAAAAGTAGCAACGAAAAGGTAAAAAGTAAGATGACACATACCTTTTGATCGGACGTAGCGTGAATGCGTAAATGCCACGTGAGTGATCGTGGCATGGTGAGCCAAAAGGCATTACCAGAATCGTAGACTGATTTTTCATGACAAAGCCGTATTTTACATTATGTCCATCTCCTATAGCCTTCGGAGTGTCAATTGTTCTCCCACGTTTGCCCGTATTTTCCCTGCTTATTCACCTTGACAGCATCCCATGTGATTTTTTCCGCCTTGATTTTGCGCCTGTCATTCAACTTCTTTACAAATGTCGGAATGCAGTCGGAAAGCCTAAACGATTAACCCTCGAATCACCTTTTTTTTCTCTTCTCTCTCACTTTTTCCCCGCACTTTGTTCATTCCCTCCCCCAGCTTTGCCCATCAAATTCGTTTAGGCATCACCCTTCGGCTCAACATCCGTTAGGTTGACTCAAAAGGAAATCCCCATTGTCTAACACACTTTTTCAGAGTGCCTGCATCATATGACGTGGAAATTGGATCTGCGGTACTCCTCCACTCTGTAAGCACCACCCGGGATGTTATCGCTCTGCTGCAAACTTTATTGGTGAAATGGATCTAATACAGCGCTTTATACATAATCATGTGCAACATGGATTTTCCCACCCTTTCCATCATCCGCTATTATGGTATATTCTCGTCTCATTCAATGCCAAAATCATGTTTTTTGATAATAAGGTGTATTTCTTTTATAAAAGACATGTTGAATCATTTGCCAAGTAGACGTATTGAATGATGTTTATTCATCCCCTCAGTCAAGCGGATATCCATTTTCTATATAGAGGGTGTTGGTGTGCTTGCATTCAACAATATGAGATGGATAACCATCAAGACAATGTCACCGATGACTATAGCCGATATGCAATAGAATAAACGCATCGCGTTGGATCGATCATGTTGTTGATTGACAAGGAAGGGGGTGGATGGATGGATGTGGCACAAGCAGCGGAGGAAATCAAAAGAGTAGAACTTGGATCACCGCACGGACCATCATTGACATTGAAGAAAAAACAGGTTTTATTGTTGTTGAGAGAGAGACGTGTGTGTGTGTGTGTGTGTGCAAACGGAAAAGAAATTCACAAGGTTGGGATAATTTAAGCAGCCATGTACGAGTTGACATCGACATCTTCAGGCAAAGGTTGAATGTTGATTTCGAAACGGCTCTGCACATCATTGAGGACCTCTGTATCCTTTTCATTGGAGACAAATGTAATGCCAAGACCCTTGGTACCGAAACGACCAGCACGACCCACACGATGTAAATAAGTGTCTGCGCTATCAGGCATGTCGTAATTGATGACAATGTTGACGCGTTCAATATCGATACCACGACCAAAGATATCGGTTGCCACCATGATACGCTTTTCAAAGTCCTTGAACGACTTGTATCGCTTGATACGATCTTCTTGGGACATTTGGGAATGGATGCATACGCTGGGGAAGTTGCAGCTGGTCAAGATACGATCGAGTTCTCTGGCACGTGGTACGGATCGCACAAAGATGCACACTTGGTTGAATTCGAGGCTATCGAGCAAGTCGTTCAACTTTCGATTCTTCTCACGTTCGTCGAGTTGAATGTAGAATTGTTGCAGACCATGAAGTGTCAACTTGGCCTCATCATCAACATAGATCTCGAGCGGGTTTTGCATAAACTTTTTGCAAATAGGGCGCATCTCCTTGGCAAGCGTGGCCGAAAACATCATGACTTGCTTGTGGTGAGGCGTGGATCGGAAAATGTCTTGTACATCACGACGCATGTCTATTGTTCTCCATGTGTTATTGAAAAAAAGCCGTATCCATGGCAACAACAAGAACTTACCAAGTTGTTCCAACATCTTGTCACATTCATCCAACACAAAGTGCTTGACATTGTTGAGCTTCATATGCTTGTCACGAACGAGACCCCAAATACGACCTGGCGTACCAACCAAGATGTGAGGGCACTTTGACTTGTCCTTCAAGATCTCAATGTCCTTGGCAGTAGGAACGCCACCATAAAACACGTCGGTACGAATATCAGGAATGTACTTGCTGAAACGATTGTATTCGTTGCGGATCTGGAAGGCAAGTTCACGCGTATGACAAAGGACAATCACCGAAACCTCACCATCGACAGGCTCGATTTGTTGAAGCGTGGCGAGAACAAAGACAGCTGTCTTGCCCATACCCGATTTGGCTTGACAAAGGACATCCATACCAAGAATCGATTGAGGGATACATTCTTGTTGCACTGTAGATAGAAATCAACGCGTCAAAATGGGCGTGTGTGTTTGCATATAGGATACCAAACGCTCACCTTCAGAAGGATGTTCGAAACCACAATCGACAATGGCACGTAATAATTCAGGCTTGAGCAAGAAATCACGGAAACCAGTAGAGCTGACACCAACATAGGATCCCTTCTTGTCCTTCTTGTCTTCGCCTTCCTCCTTGCCATTGGCTTCACCAGCCTTGTCTTCTGTGGCAGTAGCAGTTGCTGCGGCCGCGTTGGATTGTTGAAGAGTTTGTTCATCCTCCTCCTCGTAGTCGATCAAATCATCAGCGTGGTCGGCAGTGGACATGATAAATAAGAAAAGAAACTGTGGAGAGAGAGAGAGAGAGATCACAACACCCCAATGCAAAAGCTGACTTTAGTATACAAGTGGCGTAAAAAAAGAACGGTGCAAAGAGAGAGAGAGCAAGAGAAAAGAGAAAGTAATAGAGAATACTTGATGGCGTTCTCCCCCTCCAATCTTGTTTTGCTGGCCGCGTAAACGTGCATTTTCCCCCCATGGGTCCATTGGGTTGTGTTGAGATTGGTAGCCGTGTGTGTGTGTGTGCGCGCGTGTGTGTGCATGTACGTGTGTTTCCCCTTTTCCCCCCATCTCTTTTTTTTCCATAGTGTGACAATGCTGATCTTGGTATCCAATATTGACTGTCTCCACCAGATGCACGTAGAGAGAGAAAAAACGCGTTTCAAAAGCAACACGATTTCAATCTTGAAGAGAGACGACGGCAGCAAATGGGTTGGAGAATCGGTGGGAAAACGCCAATAGTTCCTCGTAGTTGGAAGACGACATTTACCTTGTAGTAGAAATGGGCAAAAGAGAATAAAAGAAGAGACGAGTAAGAAGAAAAGGAGAAAACGGGCGTGCGTGTGTTTAAAAGAAAAAAGTGTGTGGAAAAGGGTGCCACGCAATCCCAAATTGGGTGGGCGGGGCTTGACGGAGTTACATTTGTCCATTGTGCAGAATGCATTGTTGTTCAATTGTCTCTTTTATTTCATCATGTCCCATGCGACTTCAGCTGGTCCAAGGGGTTCAATCTCTATGCCAACGATCCGAAGCTTTGGGGGGATTGCCGTTGGGAAGGGATGGCCCATATCCCCATTCACACGCCGTGCAACGAGTCCATGCTTTTGCAACTTGGCACTGTTTTTGGTATCTTTCTTGACTTTTACTCTGGTCTTCTTATCAGTGAGAATGCGACCATATAGTGCGTATGGATACGACATGTGACGTCGACATAGATCAGTGAGCGATACAGTCTTGTTGTGGCGTTGCTTGTCACCATTGGGAGCGTTTCCTTGTCGCAGCAAATCATCATCATCCTCGTCATCGTCATTGTTGTTGTCAAGTACTTGCTCATCACCACCATCATCATTATCATCCAACCAGCTTTTATAGGTGAGACTTCCTTGTTGGATGGCCATTTCTTTGAGTACATTCACAGTGTCTGATGGCAATCGGAGTAGCTTTTGAAGCACTTGTTTCTCGCCTTCACAAAATACACGTGCTGATGTGACGCCATCCGTCAATTCCACCTGTGCATTCACCAAGAGCAAGCGATGGGCATTCTTACATACGCCAAGACATGAATCATGCGATATAATAGTACCACAACCAGTGCACATCCACGTAATGTCGAGATGATGAATGGCTTCAAGTGTACATTGGCATCGAAATACAGAATGCAATTTGCTGGCAACACTCGGCGGGATCTTGGTGGCGCTGAAATGGGCTCTATTGAGCATCCATGCTTCGAATAAGCTGCGATTGGGAATCAATTCACTTGCAAATTGTTGATAATCCGCATGATTGAAATGCATCTTGACCACTTGAATTCGAGTATTGGCTGATGTTTGAGCATAATAGCTGCCATCCGCACGTCGACGTCGCATCAAGTTGAAAAATATCACCTGGCTTCCTGGTATAATGCCCTGAGGGTAGGGTCGTGTACTCATATCCATATACACATCCAATGTGTCGAGTCCATCCACTTGCCGTAGTCGAAACATTGTCGTACGTCCTGGTTGTCCTGTGCCCAATTGCCATTGTTGATATAATGATTCGGCATATTTATAAATAGGTCCTTTTGGGCGTGCTGTATCACGAAAAGTCTTTATCGTGACGATCCCTTCGACATGCGAACACTCTTCAAGATATCGATCGTGTATTTCAGTCAAACTCGGTCCATGTTCCAGGTTGGCATGCTGAAGGTCACGTATGCTGTATATAGGTCGTTCTTTATAGGCGGGTACTCTTGTCGATGAGGTCGTACGCTGGTGGGATTTCAGTGAAAGAATCACTTTGTTCTTGGTGGATGCGGTGGATACGAAAAGCAGCTCATTGTTCTCATTGGGAATAATCGTAGGTGGTAAAGATAGCTTGCTCTTACGTTTGTTGCGAATAAAAGCTGAGATATCAATGATGTGCTGGGAATCACTGTTGCGTTTCACTGTATAGGTGTCGAGATGTCCCAATAATGCGAACCATCCTCCCTCATGTAAATAAGGTGTGTATCTTAACCATTGCGATGTCAACACGAGGGTCGTTTCAAAAGGCTCGCTGTCGGCTGTGTCATGGTTGTGGATAGGGTATGCAATGGCGCGAATCATGGATCGTAATGAGAAAGCGCATTTTCCTTGCACTTGCACTCGTATAGGCTGGATTTCGATTATTGAAAAGAGAAACAAGGTGTCAATGTCGGTGATGGATAAGTCGTCAATCGTAAAATAGCCAATTTGATCACGTGGTAAGAGAGGTGGCGTAAATCGAATGCTTCTTTGTCTTCGAGATCCAACCGCTGCCACATGCTCCATATCATCAAGATCGCACGCGATATAAGTCGAATCCAATGATAAGTTTCTACCCTTCTCTTCAGTGTAGGATAGATCCTCTTGAATCAAACGGAACCTTTTGATGATATAATAATCATCCAGTAATGGCTATGAATCGTTCGTCAATAGTAGGCTCACATAGAAAGGATAAATGTGCCACGTTACCATGCGATCTGCCGTAGTAGCAGTGGGTATGACCAAAGGTATCTTGTATGTATCATCTTTAAAATAGAATCGACCATCCTCACCACACTCGATCATCCCCAACACCCGTATCATGTGATCCATCTCTCCACTAGGAAAAAGAGATTGCTTGGTATAGACGCCAATCATATCTTTGCCACTGGTTGCAGCTAGATATCCCACCGGCTTCTCCTCAAGATGATGTTCATCGCATAAAACAAAGTTGACCAAATCCTTTAATGAAGGAAACGAATAAAACGTCAAACGTTCTCCTTTGCCTAGCGCTGTACAATGCTTGTCGTCATGCTCGAAAAGATCATTCTTCATGTTGCTGCCAAATAAGGGGTCCTCTTCCTCTTCTTCCTCCTCCTTGTCTTGATGATCACATGATACACACCAACGAGCGAGACCGAGTGCTGCCATACCCAAAGTATCCGCATCTTGTCCTTGACCAAACTTTTTGATGATCGCAGCATGAGCGTCGAGCTTTTGCAAGAGAGTTGGAAAGTTGGGCAATGTGATGGTGGATTCCCGAAATAAATAATGCGTCGTAGGCTGAGACCATGGGATCGAGTCAACGTGGTTAGGAAATGCAGCGACTTGAATATCGGAATACAGGCAAGCGACCAAGCATACTTGACACTCTGGTATCTTCCAATATGACTTGAGAGCAACGGTATCATCCAAATCAAGCTGTACAAGATGAGCGTGTGTGATCCTGAGTCGAGTTCCAATGCGGTATGGATACAGCAAGTTGTAATTGGTATAATGGAACAAGCATGCAACCACTTGCCCGTCCAACTCGTATATCCCAAAATCAGAATCCAAGATACGTGTCACTGTGCCGTGATGGACATGAGGCATGTAATCATCATTCGTATCGGATACTTCACGCTTGTTGCTGAGACTGGCATAGGCATCATTGGTGAGAAGATGGCATCGTGATTGGTGTTGGACAAAGCGGTACACATCATCATTGATAGGAATAAGGTTGATCAACAAGTAATAGGATCCAACACGATAATCATGATAATGACTTGCAATCGATTCGCCTTCGAAGAGAACCATTGTGTTGTCCACCTTGATAACGAACTGGTCATTCATAATAACCGGTTTCGCAACCAATCGGCCGAGTTTGGATACGCATGATTCATCGTCGTCGTCATCGTCGTCGTTGGTTGATTGACTTGATAAAAACAGTTCGGCACTGATACGCTCCTGAAGTAAAAGCTGCTTCAACACTGGCTCTGCCATGTTGCCTACTCGAAACACATGGCGTAATTCGAATTCGATCCACTCTTGCTCAGGGGCCAGCTTTATCAAGTTCCATTGCGTAATGCATACCACCGTATTCAACAAGTCATGGTGAAAGGTGTCGACGCAGCAACGGATCGTGCTCAACTTGTTGACGTCGTGCAATAGAATGGTGTCTCGATCGCCTCGTTCCAAGCGACCTACTACATTGGCGCCGAGTAATGTCGAGCTGGTACTGGTTGGCTGGTCGCGCAACTTGCGAATCGAAGCGACATTACGGTTGGACGCGACATTCATCGGTTGACACCACAAAGAGACAGCGCTTCCTTTGGCCGCGTTGATCTCGCGTTTGACTTTGGAGTCTTACCAAACTAGGTTGTCCCTTTTTCGGATGTTGCTTTTTACTGCTCAATGTATATCAAACACACAATGCACATGCACATGCACATTCTCTTTGTTCTAGTAGCAGCTTTCATCCTTCGATTATGTGAAATAAAAGAAGATTTTCTTTATACAATGATCTCTTATATCCTCATTTTCATCAATGAATACGGCCAACAATCAATAACCTCGATCCAAAACCATCATTGATCACATACATGGAAGTATGCCAAGAATGGGAGGCGCGGGAAAGCGGCCATGATGTGTGTATTTATATGCTCGTCGATCGACAACAATGCCACCAATGTTGACATGACACCATTCCAGTAACCAATCAATTTCCATCCCCGAGTTACCGCGCGGTTGCCTCGGATATCTGATTCCCGATCATAATGTGTTCCTGCATACAAATACACATGAATCTGCTCATTGTATGAAAATCATTATAGTAAAATGGCATGACAGGTGATTGGATTGTACTATAATAGGGTATAATGTAGATGCGAGTAGGCTGATTGTTGATGTATGTCGTTGCTGCTACTACTATCATCCTGCTGCGACATATGGCTATTATCCATGCGCTCTCGGAGCACTATTCCCCGCCACTGATCAACATCCTACACCCACAAAAGCTATATAAGGACGAGATCAAGATAGCTTGTGATCTTTTAATCATCCCTCTTTATAATACAACAACAATACTATGGTCAAGAACATTGTCATTATCGGCGGCGGTTATGCTGGCGTGATGCTTGTTACAAAGCTAGAGCGTTCTATATCCAAGCATCAAGATTACCGCATTATCATGATTGAAAAGGTACAGCACATAGGAGCTATCACAATCCATAATGAGTTACACCCACTCACTATTACATAGAAAACCTACTTTTACCATATCATTGCAGCTCCTCGTGCGGCGGTTGAGGATTGGGATGTGCTTATTCCTTATACCCATCTTTTCAAAGAAAGCAAGAACCAGGTTGTCCATGCTACAGCCATGCATCTCAACAAGCACTCCGTGATTTTGGATACTCCCTTTGAAGGTAGCACCGAACTCCCTTTTGATTATTGCATCCTTGCCACCGGTATCAAGTATCCCATTCCTTCCAAGATTTACGACATCGACGTTGCTGACGGTAGCAGTCGTATGTCACACATTCGATCCATGGTCGCCAAAGCCGAGTCAATCATGGTGATAGGAGGTGGTGCAGCTGGTATTGAACTTACAGGCGAGATCCGAGAAAATTACAAGAACAAGAAAATTGTCCTCGTGCACAACCATGATCATCTCTTACAATCATCCTTTTCCATCAAAGATCGCGAGTATGTCCTCGAAAAGGTGCAAAAGAATAACATTCAGGTGATACTTGGAGAAAAGGTGGTATTGCCCGATGGCGTGCCTGATGTCTTTGTGCCTGAAAACCCCATCATGAGCGAAAAGGGCACGATCTTATCCACAGTCGATTTGGTTATGGTTGCCTTTGGTAATAATGCAGACACCGACTGGTTACAACAACACCGCGATACCATTTTATCACCCAAGGGATACATTCGTGTGAAGCCAACATTGCAAGTGGATGCTGTGGGCTATGAACACATCTATGCTCTCGGTGATGCAGCTGACCTCGATGAACTCAAGTTGGCCTTTTCTATCAAGAGACAAGTGCCTGTGGTGGTAAATAACTTGGTGCAAGCTATTCAAGGAGGACATACATCTATGGATGAATACAAGCCAAAATTCCTCAAGATGGAAATCACTTTGGGCAAGGTAAGATATAGGAGGAGGAATGGGTATACATAAAAGAACCCTGGCTGATGATGATGCATGTATTGTTGGTGATCTTAGAGTCAAGGCATTTTAATGACACCTCTTGGAACATTTGGGAATTGGGCATCAAAAAAGGGAAGGGACCAATTGACCAAAAAGTTATGGAAGATGATGAATGCTGGTCAACCAAGTAAATGTAAGTTTCGAGGGATTTACGCTAAATGATGTGATCATGAAAAGACTAATCCGCTATTCATTGCACTAGATCCAGCTGACACAAACGCTGTTGTTGAACATCCACCTACTTCATTTCATCAAGCGCAACTATAATTACGCATATACCATCTTCATCCGCATACACACTTTCATACATACATTAGACCCAATTGTAAAGAGCTTCTTGGCATTATTAAAATACACAGTCTTCTTCACTTTTATGTGGTATTTGAGTTGGAATGGGTACTGGAAACGCCGTAAGGAGCTTCATTTTAGACGATAAGACATCAGGAACTTCATCAATCAAGACGACGTCTCAAAGCAATAAAGATCGTAATATATATGAAACAGCTTTATTATCAAGACATGTGTATTATGTTTATGATTATGGCGAGGATGAGACACTTGGGGTGTATCTGGCTGTGTGTAGGCTACTTTGAAGGGATCCAGCTGTATGTGTGGAAGGGCAAACAGGCAACACAGCCCACAACAACGATCGAGAAAAGCGCACTATAACAACACCACTTCTCATGGTTCTAATCGACGTGTGATTTGCTTTACTTGTTCCTTAGATCACGGAGATCAGTCAAGCGATTCCTAGGCAACCGGGATCACAGCAACGATCAGTCAACTGTTACCTTGGCGACCAAGATCAGAGCAACGATCAGTCAACTGTTACTTTGGCAGCGCGTTTTAGAACATGTGTAGAGACAAGAGTATGTGCATTTAAAAAGAACAAGTTTATTTATGATGATAGTGTACTAATACTAATACTATAAAGAAGCAGCTGTTGGTTTCCTTGAGCCAAAAGGCCAAGTACTCACAGGGATGACCACGAGAAGGTCGCTGCTTAACCATCCCCACCTCTACCTGTGGGCACCAATATCAGGTCGACAAGGTGCAGTGCTGGGGACACCGCTTGTACCTTTTTTGAAGACCGAGAGAAGTAGTTGGAGCCCCCTACAACTAGATCCCTCGAATCAGGTGCCGGGCCTTGCGCGCCAAAACCTCGTTGGGAAGGAAGGGTAAAGAAAAGAAAAGGAAAAAGGCGCTTGTTTTATAGCCGTTGCTGCGGATGGTTGCTGCGGCTGAAAAGGAGCGTGACACCAACATACCATATATGGGTTGCAGCAGTCATTGCCTTCTTTACAGCATGTTCGCTAAAGAGATTATGATAAAAGACACACATAAAGACACACTTCTTTGTACCTTGGATCATTGCTATATGGGGAAGGTGGGAATGCGTGAAACGTGCACGGATCATCAGCAGCAGTGGTGGAGTTTAGCTGATATCGGAGACACTCAATGAAACTCCTTTGTTGCAAGGTATGTTTGGAAGCATCATTGAAGCATAGAATACACGGATCATTCACCACTTACCTATTATTGCCATACACGCATACAGATGCGTTGATTTTCCTCCTTCTTGTGTATATCCACAGCTGTATATGAATTGACAGGCTGGTTTCCATGGCGGCGTTTCCTCTTTCACACACACCAACTTGGAAAAACCCGACACCTCTTCCAGGACACTCACTGATGCCGTTTCCATCGCAACAAAAGCAACGTCAATGGTGAAAAGAAACAACCGCGGTGCGTATCAAACAATGATCGGTGACCCATGTAGCTTCCTCATTGACCAAGAGAGCAACTGCGATCCACCCATGGCTGATGCAACACCATAGGTATGTCCAAAGACGTCTTCCTGCTGTTATCAAACGACCAGAATGCTAAGAAGGTACCGTTCATTCCTTTTCACAAGATCCAAGACAAAAGGGGATGGTCTATTTGATATAAGGTACATCTCACGTTGAACTTTTTACGTTGGATGATCCCATGGCAATGATCACAAGAAGTGCGTTTATTTGCATGGATGATACAGGCAGTGATGGATCGACAAGAACAATCATCGAGCACGCAGGATTGACGATATGACACGATTAACCATGGATTCTGAACAATGATGGATGATGGGTGTATCAAACAGGATGGAAGCGGTAAGGTTATTTCACAAGGCACAGCGTGTTGGTGGATCAACTTGTTCGTTGTGGGGATGCACATCATTCTATCTATGGCAACCAGAAAACAGTGACAGGTGGATGTCCTTTGCTCAGACTGGATCCCAAGATGGAAACAACACTGATAAAGGTTTGGATGATTGGACCTTGGTCAAATGCTGGTGATGGGCGATTGAACAGCTACAAGGCAGTAAGCAACGGGCACATACTCATGCACAGGATAGCGGTCTCCATGATTGTATTATATAGCTATTAGTATGTTGTTGAATACGGTTCTAGAAGGGATGATGATGTTAAAGGGCGCCAATAAAAGGAGATGAGCTGCTGCAATTGACTGGTGTCAATGGATCATTATTATTACACTGCTGTGTGTAGGATGGATGATGATGGACGAAGAGGAATTTACAGCATACATACGCTTCATGATACTTTTGCATGTGTTGGACATATTTGGGTTATTCACCATGCAATCGCTAACCAGAAGTTCCCAACGTGTCATCATGTAGGTAGGCAGGGGGAGAATTCATTATGCACTCTCTTCCAATGAGATTAAGTTGCTTCGTGACACAACCCGTCCTTCTACACCTTTAGCTCTCCAGGGTCTAGCTACTTGACAATGAACAAAGACCACTTTTCATATAGCATCACGCTTACAGCATATGTAAGACATAAAGACAGTCATATCTCAAAACTTTACAATCAACCGTGAGGTCTTTAAGAGGACAATGTTGCTCGGCGGGGTCAAAGCGATCTTGTGTCAAAGTATGAAGTCCATCGTGACCATTCCCAGATTCACCCAATGTCGCCACCAGCCAAAAAATATTTTGGAGTCGTCGTCGAAAAAAATTCAAGAGGTCGATCCACTTTGGCTGGTGGCGACATTTGCGAAATCTGGGGTTGGCCACGATGGACTTCATACTTTGACACAAGATCGCTTTGACCCCGACGAGCAGGTTTGTTCTCATAAAGACCCCATGCTTCATTGTAAAGTTTTGAGATACCAGTACCTTCATGTTTTGCATATGCTGTATGCGTGATACTATATGAAACGTGGTCTTTGTTCATTGTCAAGCAGCTGGAGCCTGGCAGAGCAGAAGATGCAGAGGGGCGTCTTTGTGTAACACTGCTGTTTTGCATGGTTGGAAGGGTCAATGTACAATACTTTATGGGTTATCTAGGAACAGGCATGTATTGCCAGCTAACAGCTACTTCCACCCATTACCAACTTTTATCTACTCCATCATAATGGAACGATGCTCCTCCTCCAGACATTCATTTCCATGATTCAAGTTCCTTGATCCGAGCTGATTTGGCTGAGCTAAGGTCAAAGAGAGATTACATCAATCCATACATCAGCATACATTCGAATGTCCTCATCTGATTAATCCTTGTTCGACCGTAACTCGACCAAATCAGCTCGGATCAAGCTACTTGAATCATGGAAATGAATGTCTGGAGCAGGAGCATCATTCCCATCACGTGGATTTCGCAACAATGCTGATTGGAGAAAAGTGGCTGTTAGCTGCCCATGTATGACCTGAAAATGAGGGTTGCGTACCTATCATGCATTGTCCCTGAAGTTCTGACTTTTTAGCTGAGTTACCCAAAGACGTCCTTCTGCATCTTTGGCTCTCCAGGGTCTAGCTACTTGACAATGAACAAACACATGTCTTCCCAGAATTTAACCAAATTGCCTGATAAGGAAACAGGCACACAAAATCGTCAACGTCTCTCGTACGCTAAAGCTACACGTAGTCCTTCGCTCATTCGTGATTCTTTGAAGACACCGAAAGATCGTAAATACGCCGTCCACTCCAATGTGTGGAAAGTAGGCGGCTCGCCAGCCTCTTGTCCCAGCTTGTTTTTTGATTTCACCTCTCGTCCAGAACACCGTTCAGAAATACTTTGCCATATTAACACGAGCTTTCCCAACAACTGTGGGGTACGCCTCCACTCTGATCACGCACGCCGCATTGTCGAACTCTTTATTGCCGATAAAAAAGACTACAGCAAAATCAATTTCATGGGTATCAGCTTCCCTGACAACCAATGCATTTTGCCTTCAACACCTCTTTCTCCTGATGCTCGCCTTGTACATCTTCAGCTAAGTGAACTTCCCTTTACCACAAGGGACAAGCTATCAAAAGGTATCCAAACAGCACTTTCAGACTACGGCAACGTTCTTGACTATGGTATCCTTCGCGATCACGATTCTCACCTTTTCATGGGAAAAGGCTATGCCACTCTGGAGATTAATAATGCCAACTCTGATACAATTCCATTACGCCACACAGTTGCATGGCCCAACTCAGATGATCTGTTTCATGTTACGTGGGCAGAAATGCCGCTCCATTGCCTTCATTGCCACCAAGCTGGTCATGCTACATCTGCATGTCCTAATCGTGCCACTCGTTCTCGTGTTTGTTGGTCATGTGGCCAAACAGGCCATCGCGCCGCTAAGTGTTTCAACCGTAAATCCAAGCCTGATTCATGCAGTCCCAAGACCACACCTTTGCCTCGTTCACCTTCGTCTCAATCTGCCAACAGCCAATCGTCCGATATCTCCATGTTAAAACTTGATCTATCGCCTATTGAAAGCCATAATGACAATATCATTAACGAGTACACACCTGATGATTTCGATGAAAACATGCGCACAGCAACACCACAATCCACATCCAGCCTTCTTAGCCATATCCACCATGCCTACCCTATGTCTGACCAAGCCAAACACATCACCGCCTTCTTGACACCTTCTGCCCTTGAACTTCTTGCTGCATCACTTAAACAAAACGGTCAACCTTTTGTCTCCTCTACCCCATCCTCTCATTTCTCGGAGAGTCCCTCGCTACCCGACAACCATAGCCCGACTTAGTCATTCCTTCAATACGTATTCCTTGTACGTTTTTCTATATCGTTCCGATTTTGGGGTGCCACTCTTCGATGCACTCCCAATAAAACGAGGCCAAAAGCCTCCCTATAAATACTTGACAATGAACAAAGACCACTTGTCATATAGCATCACGCTTACAAACATAAAGGTGCCTGTATCTCTAAACTTTACAATGAAACGTGGGGTTTTTATTAGAGCAATGGGCTCGGCTTGGCCAACTGCACCTTGGGTGCCAGTTTCACGATCAAGCTTGCCAATCCCAGATTTCGCAATGTCGCTACCAGCCAAACTGGATCTGGGGGTCGACCTCTTGAAACTTTTTTCGACGACCCAAAAATATTTTTTGGGCTAGTTGCGACATTGAACGTGAAACTTTCACACAAGGTGCTGTTGGCCAAGCCGAGCCCATTGCTCTAATAAAAACCCCACGTTTCATTGTAAAGTTTGGAGATACAGGCACGTTTATGTTTTACCTATGCTGTAAGCGTGATGGAGTTGCTTTTTCCTAGTGGATGGTGTCGGGCTGCATTAACGGAAAGATGAAGAGCTGAGTGAAACTGCACGTGGTGGTTACACAGACACGTCCTTGACAGGTTGCTACACAAACGGATGATGATGATGATTGCCTTTTGTGAAGGTACGTAAGTAAACAGCATCCAATAATGAAGATGTGTCAAGGTATGCATCACATTTGCATGTAGAAGAAAGTCGAGCTGCATAAACCAATTTGTTTATGTAAAAAGATACATATACATATTGAATGGGTCACTCATCCTGAAACTCAATGGAGGGATCTCTTCACTTTTTCTCTTCTCAAGCTCATCCCACTTCCCACTCCTACTTATTGTATCACAAAAGCCATGTACTTCTTGCATGACCGATAACCGGACCACCTTTATTATTCCATCTTCGAAGCAATAGTATGTAATCCACAAGCTAGCAACCTCCAACAAGCGTGTAATAAATAAACAATGCTTTATTCATTTAGCTATCTTGCTATGTACTGTACATTGCCACCACCATCGTCGTAGTCGTCCTCCGTCATCATTCCTACTCGTACTCCTCACCAGTCGTCAATCTCATCCGTCACACCAACATCCAAAAATACACAAGTTGAAAAGAATGGGATCTTGCAGGCTTCCTTTTGAATCTCGTTGTCGTTATCATTGTCATTGTTGTAGATGGGGTGATCATCGTAATCGTCATTGTTGTGAATGTGGTAATCATCGTAATCGTCGCCTCTACAAATAAGAAAGCAGGCAAGTTAGACCATCTGGTACCGGAATGATGACGATTTGGTATACCGTTAGGCGATCCTCTCTAAGGAAGAAAGCAAATCAGAAGGAATTCACAAACCAAATCACCATCATATAAGCAACGTCGGGCGATCCCTTGTTCTTGAGAAAGCACTGCACGAATCACGCAAGGTCAGTTCGATCCATGGCAAGGAAGGACATCACTTACGTAGAGTCCAGGCTCATAGTTGTTCTCATTCATCCTCTCCAAAGAAAGAATGATCCCCAATCCTTCCAATCATTTCCCACCTCATGAAAAGAAATCCTCAAGGGAAAGAACGAGCCTATCACGAGAAGAGCGTGTTGGTTTACACTGATGTCAAGCTGTTGCAAATCCCCTTTTACCTCAACACGGTGACCATGCTCTTCCAAAAATCCATCGTCATCGACCCATCAACTCAACGCAGGCCTATAGAGCCCTGGACGCGTTCCAAGAACTTTTCCGGCACACTTGGCTAGTGCAGAGCGACGCAGCAGCCACTTAATACAGGCTGGGACTTGACGATGATGCCCCCAAGTTGCATTGCCTGACCAAAGAAACCTATTCAATTCATTATTAGCACACACACATATACAATAACCACCCTTTTCATTGTTTGTTCATTGCACTCACGTTTTACATATACATAAAAACCTTCGTTGTTGGTTACTGGAAACCGAAAACCATGGTGTAGTGTTGTTGAGCCGAAACAAAACGCCAAACGAGCCAACGTCTTGAAACCAAACTTGCCCTCTATACAAGCTAACGCGTCAATGGAACAAGTTTTGCAGCAACATTGGACTCTGAATGTACCTGTTGACACCAAGCGTAAGGCGGGAATAGCAACGAACAAGAGGAAGCAACGGTATTGCCATGGCAACAGCCAACCACCCACCACGCTCATTCCTCAGCACTTGGACACAGACTCACTCCCTGACAAAGCATGTTCAGAACTACATTAATACCTCACAGCCAACAAGAACACTACTCTTTGATATAACACATTACCCTTGATTGGAATGTCGTGAATGGGGATAAAAGCAGACGAGCGACAAAGAGAAAGGGAAGCGTTGTCTCAAGTCGTAGAGCTACAGTCCCCCAAGTTTAAATCCGCTACTGCTATTACACTGAGGCCACTCATCAATTACCCTATACACACACCATCCACCCATCATGATCATCACCCTCACGATAGACAATAGGTACACGTAAATAAAAGGAATGATACTCACTCGCCAATGCCTGTCGGTAGAAAGCACATGGTTCGTGATGAATACATTTGATAGAATCAAGGACTATGTCTCGTAAAGTAATTTACTATTATTCTTATAATACAACGTCGTTTAAAAGGGATATGTAGTGTCTATAGCATTATGATCTGACCATCCGATGTTGTGGTTTGCGCATGTATCGTCACACCTTTGCTAGCAGCCGTTTATTGAATAAGAGCCTTGTTCCCAAAACAGCCATTGCCGATGCCATAGTCATCGCACCCGTAAATTGAATGGCAGCGGTCCATCCATAATGGATGTGTAGAGCTCCCGCTATGGGTGTTCCAGCCAAGTAGCCAAAGAGTGCCATAAAGTAAACTACACCTACACCTTCTTGGATTCCCTTGACACCCACAATTTCAGCAATGACGACAGGCTGAAAACCATTAAATACACCACCTGTCAAGCCAAAGAGGACGCAATAAAGTAAATAGATGTGAATGCTCATTGCATTTTGCCAAATCACCGACGTGAAAATGCCTGTGTAACCATCGTCATGAATGAATGCATGAATTGCGTTATACAATTACATACATGCACGTTACCAGATATGAGCGTTGTGAGAAAAACAACATTGATGCGTCCGATACAGTGATCAGCCAGCCAACCGAAAATGAGACGTGAAAGACCATTGCATGCTTCAAGGATCGAAACAAAGATGGATGCAAATGCAGGATCAGCACCGAGTTCGGTTGCATAGGTTTGCGATAATATGACGGGTGTTGTATATGCAAACGACACCAAGAATGAATGTAATAGGTAAAAGTTGTACTTCCATGTAAACATGGCTCGATCCAAGGCGAGGAAACGCTGCCACCATTTGGATTGTTGTGTATCGCTCTTCACTGATGACAATGATGATGATGATGATGGTGGTGGTGATGGTGGTGATGGCGATGGATACCGTGGTCGGATCAAGATCACCCCCAGACAAGAAATGGTGAAGCCAATAGCGGCAAGTACACGTAGCGCATTGCGATATCCCAAACTTGTAATCAATGCTTGTGTCATGGGTGAGAATACCATGGGACCAATACAGCCGCCCATACTTGCAAGGCCGCTCGCAAGACCACGGTTGCGAAAGAACCATTGTGAGGGTAATGTTGAGGAAGCGGTATAACAAAGACCTGTGCCAAAGCCGAACATCACACCCTGCAATAAGGCTACTTGCCATATCTCAGTAGCAAAGCTGGCAAAGATCTGACTGAGGGGACAACAAATGACAGCACCTAGGAAGATGGTACCACGATAATGAAGTCGCTGGATAATAGGTGTGGCAACCAAACCAAGAGCATACATGATTGCATTCATAGATGTTCCTATTAAGGCAACACGTGCTTCATCTGTTTGCTCAGCATACACCTCAAGGTATCTTTGCATTCACATCTATAAGTCATTGCCATTCATCAACTCCCGTTATTATATCCACTTACAGGACCTGAAAGACATTCCAGCTACTTACTACGCCTATCGTATAAAAGTTAAGCATAAATGTCGCAAACACTGTGAGCCATCCTGGGTTTTTCAAGCCTTCAGTGTAGTATGCTGGCGTATCATCATCGGGCTTTGTGATGCCATTGTCATTGCCACTAGGTGTCAAGGACGTCTCCTCAGGTCTATGCTCTACCACGTTTTCTTGTACACTATGCCTGTGGTCGTGCTTATGGCTGATTTTATGGTCGGATGACTGCAATAATAACGAATCAGATCTTTTTGTGTATGGTGCCATCGTGTTGTTTTTTTACATCAGCAGAACTATTCGACGAGATGATATCGCTACTACTACTAGTATCACTTGATTGAGGAACGATGGGTTGATGACTGGTGGTGCTGTCTGATAGCGCTTGGCTTGATGAGGCTATCATGGTGAAAATGGATTTTATGTAAACTTGATGAAAAAGAAATCATGATAAATAGAAGATAAAAGCAAGAGATTTTTCTACGGATACCCCCGTTGGCGTAATAATGCATGCATACATATTTTTGTGCCCCTTTATCACGACGCTGATGATACCTATATACCCGTTCATTGAACCTCATGGCGGGCGACGGCGTTGATAGGAAAGAATAATAGAAGAAGGAGATCAAGTGCTAGTATTACAACCATGTCAATGATGGTAATGTTGCTATAGAAATTTACCCCATCAGCAAGAAATCATTATGCACGTGGACAACAGCAGTTGACTTGTGGCCGACAACAACTTCGAATGTGACATTCGACGATGAAACCAAGTAAGGTATCAAAGAAAAATTTATGCACATAGTTTCGTATCTCAGCAGAGAGATTCATAGAGTAGACCAAAAGGGCACCACCGAACGAATGAAGGCAAGCACGGTAGCAATGCTTGGTATCAACGCAAAAGGTCTCAACGGGTTGTCAAAGTTAATGCATGCATCAAGGATACCCCACATGTACCACTGCATACGTTGTTTATGTTCCTGCATGATACAGAGAGCAAACGCTCTTATAGTAAATCAACAAATTTAATGAAGCTTTGCATTGGAGAGATGTAACAAGAGAAGAACCCCAAAAATAATACATAAGAAAGCTTTACTAGACAACTACAGTGATTGTCTTATTGTCTGCTAGGTGCTAGTCGATCATTGCTGGCATGCAGTACGTAACTTCCCATGCTATGTAGATTCTAGAAAGTGATACTTGATGATATGGGCAACAAGGGACCAGTGGATGTATACGACGTTGAAAGAACTGTCACTCTAATTTTTGCTGGTGTCGTGTGACAATCGTTTGCACTATATGGTAAGTTTCTTACATTTACGATACATGGGATGATGGATTGACAGCTAATGATACAAGATCAGCTATTAGGCCCAATAGAACCATCCAAGCACCGCATGGTGGACCATTGACCAAGCACAACACGGCATAAACACTGCTTGGATGTGAGTGGATCTGGTAGTACGATGTTGAATCCAATCTGCGTTCAATGAATAGTCGTAGTGGGGGTGTTTATCAAGTAAATAAAACAAAGCAATAGCATTACAAATTGAATAAGATATGGGTGAATTACATAGAGTGAATGGGGGTACTTGTGTCATTGTATTCTACTAGTTTGCTGCGGTCATAAACATCCTTCATCCATGATTGCAAAATAGCTGCTGCATGCCTTGATTTGAGTGTCCCCATATCATTCATGGTTGCAAAACGCATCCCGTCAAAGATATAGACCCTTTTGCCAATGCCATCCAATCCATCATCATCATCATCCTCAGCCGTATCAACGTGATATGATCCATCGTTCCTGATAACAACGCGCCAAGTAACCAAAGCAACATTCCAAGATTTCTCATCACTGAGCTTGGTTGCATCCATCCATCCATAGCTGTCATGCTGGTTGAAAAGAGTCATGTGGTCGCTGTTGATATGCTTCCTTTCCCATTCTGCTGTTGTCAATCTCCTTCTTGGTCATTTTCGACCGCAAGTGAAGATTGATCGCATTGCCGTGTATTTGATAGTTGATATGGCATCATCCATTGGAATGTGTATGTATTGAAGCATGTTGCTACGAGTAAATAAAGCTGCTTCTATATGATGGCTATCTGCTGTTCACGTGAAAAGGCTGTAACGCAATTCGCTGCAAGTAACTTGAGACAATGGAGTAAAGACCTTGCTGATAGCAGCTGCTGGAATGAATGCTGTTACGTTTGGTCGTGGTCGAGAAGTGCTCAAGAGAAGCTGTGGTATCAAGAAACGAGGGTGTTGTGGTGGGCTGTGTACACGCCATGGACTTGACATTCAGTCAAAGGCAATCGGATCAAGACAATTGTAGGATGGACATGATGGGTTGAAGCAGGACAATCGTCTGCAAGTGGTAGTGGTACATACTTGAATGGGGCAACAGTTGAGAATGGGAGGAAGAGAGAAGAAGTGGAAATTTAAGTAGGTTGAGCTGTCCTACATAGATAGAGTGTACGGTTCATGGCCGTGAACATTGTTCCAGGGCAGCTTATTAGAGAGTTAATAGCCTCTTATATAGATGGCAAAGAGCTGCAGGTTCCTGTAAAATGGATACGAGATTACGATGTGGTTGTGCAAATGTGAATGCATACTGTAAAGTTATTTCACCATAGACAATGTTAAGCCATTCAACAAAAATCCACGAGCGAAGCGAGCAACTTTTCACATAATTATACATGTTTTATCTTTGGGATGATCAGATAACGATAATTGGGTATCAAATAGAGGTGGATGGTGGTGTTGTTTTTCTATGTGGATCGGGTCAAGAGGCTCAATGGATTGAACTTGCTCATAAGCCCATCGTCATGTTCAACGGTACGGTTGCTTGCAGATGGAACGAAAAAGAAACCAGCTATAAGTACAAGGTAGCTGAAGGTGAGGATGGAACCCTTAAAGTAATTGGACTTTCCCTCTTGGTATGTGTAAGTCAACAAGAAGACGGCCATGATGACAGCCACTACATCCCAGTGAGGGAAGATAAGCCTAGATGAGAGAGTCATTGTTAATAACAATAGCCGCATTTGTGTGTATGTCCCTTCTACTTACGTGAACGTGAATTTGGCCAATTCCTCTTTGCTGCCATGATTGAACCACCACGAGAATAGCACCATGGCAGGAATCTGCAACAAGCATACTTGAAGTGCATAAGCCGATCCAATTTCCATACTATGGGCTATGTTAGATAGAGTAAATGAGTGAATCGTCATGCACTTGCCTTAATACAATATTATTGTGGAGAGCAAAACCAATAGCGTTCGTGAACTCGGTAATGTTGGGTACCAAAGCAAAGAGCGTGAGACCAAGGAACTTCTCATCAATGGCCATGTCAGCCATAATAACATCGACAGTATCCACCAAAATTTCAGCAATGATAGAGTACAAGAGCGTACATGCAAAAAGCACTGTGAAACTCTTGGCTGTGCCCCATTCAGGTGCATCGTGACCAGCTGCTTCCTCTTCTTCCTCATCTTCATCATCGCCTGCTTGTATAAAGTTGGGAAGGGGTGGTGGTAGTGTACCAACGTTGCCATTGTTGGGATCACTGTTGCCATTCTGCGGAGGATGTTCTGCTGTGGTAACCATGCTGGGATCTATGATAGGATGCATTCATTATACAGCTCGTGTACCATATCATGATTGATAACCTTACCACTACGTGCGTGGCGCTTGTATGCTGGATCAGCGGCATTGTGATGTTCGTTTTGGTGCTCATTGTTTGCTGGTGGTGGAGGTTGTGAGGTGATGTAATTTTGAAGCAGTCGTTGGTAGTATGCAAGGAACGATTGTTGCTGCTGTTGTTGCTGTTGACGTGAAGCCGAGTTTTCTTGCGATGAGCTCTTCCACACCATGTCTACATGCGTATGCAAACTAAAGATGAGACCAATAAAGTAGGCCTATCTCAAAATCTTAGCACGCTGAAGAAGGACGTCTTTATCGTTGTTTCATTTACCGAGGGCAAGATGGCAGCACAAATCCACATAAAAGGCTTGACCTTATTTTGATACACGGGATCAGCGGCAGGATCCATTTGCTCATAATGACATTGGGAGCATGAGTCATCGACAACGTCTCCAGGACAAGCATTACATCGAAGCTCAAACTAGTACACAGCCTCTATTAATATCCACCCATGATTTCATAGCTCATCATTCACCTACCGTGCCAAACATTTGATAAAAAAGAGTGGGCGACAATGCGCCAATAATGGCCATGATGAGCATAGTTGATGTGACACCTGCACTCTTGGCATTGAACCGTTGTTCCTTGCGCTTGAATCCACCAGCGATCATAGCCAAGCCAGGTAATAGCAACACACCCACGAGAATACTTCCAATCAAGGATCCTTCCACCAACGCGCTCTTACCACCCATAAGTGCAATGCCATACAAGATGATTTCAATGATACTGCCAAAAGTAGCATTGATCACCGAGCCAACAGCCATTGATGTTTGTGCCGAAACACTGCTCACAGCCATACCAATAAAGTATGAAAGGGGAATGACCGATCCGAGTGAAAGTGAAAATACGGCTAATGGAGATGCGATCCAGGCATCGGGCCAATGATGACGGATAACGTATTCATCGAAAATGACAAAGAATACGAGCGAGAGCAGATTGATAAAGATAATGTTGATTCCTTCGTAAGTATACTTGTAGTATTGGAAGCCGATTGCTTGGTATGTACAAAGCAAGATCACTGTAGGCTGTGTGCGTGAAGAGGCAGCACTTGGACTTGCATGGAAACGAATGCTGAGTGGATGTCGACCGAGATGGCGTAAGAGTTTGTAGTTGAGCTTGGACATGGGGATTGTGATAACACACATCCAACAAATGGTCGATACAATAAAGAGCAAAGGACCTACGTTCGCCACGATCAATAAAGTCCTCTTCTTTTTCATGATTTTTGATATACTTTACCAATGATTGTAAGGTAAAAAAGATAGTAAACCCATCCACTAAGACCACTTTTGGCTACGTGGACGAGTAACTCCTTCCATGTCTGTTTGCGATAATGAGCTGCTGTAGTTGAAATAAGTGGTTCGGCTTCAGCGTCTTCTTCAGGGACAATGCGCTCCACGTAACGACCAAATGGCCAAAGCAAATACATGGCCAAACCTCCAGTGACAGCACTGTATTTGCGTCCATCGGGTGGTATGATCCATACCAGCAATGCAATAACGCCCATTACTAATGCTAGCCACCAACCAAATACAAGTGTCCAAAGGATATTGCCAGGGTGCAAATACAATCGTGGAGATGACGAAGGGTATGAATGAAGTGCTAGGTTTGCCTTTCGTACAACCGAGCGGGATTTACGATACAATGCCGGTTTCCAGATAGGCATACCAAAAGGATGCTCTCGATTCATGGCCTATAAAACGTTGTTAGGTTGAGTTTTTTATCCATCCATCCATATTATCTATATATGTATACATACCTCTTGCTTATCTTTGAGTGTGATTTCATGTTCGGCACTAGCAAATGATACATGGTCGTGATGAGGACGATCATCGTCATCGTCCTCTTCAGCAAGTGATGTGTCGTCTTGTGCTTCAGCATCATCCATTCCACGATAGCTTGCATGTGAGGGGCGTCGACGCTGTTGGTTACGACGTAAAGTTGAACGTCGTTTGACGGATGGTCTCCGACGCGTAGGTGACGATGGCTCGACAGCACCATATCGACTACCGTTTTGGTCTTCTGAACCTGATGAATCTGAATGAGAACGTAGTCTACTGCTCGATGACCTGTGAGTTGACAGGTTTGGCCTTGTATCGGATGGATCCATGCCAGGTAAGCAGCAAAAAGCAAAAGAGGTGAGAAAACGAAAAAAAAGGAGATAGGGTACGGAAGATCGGCTGTTTCTTTTACATTGCGGAGCTCATGGGCGGTGTAACACAAGATGCTTCCCCTACTGTGTTATGTGGCGCGCCCTATGTCGTTATTTCTGCTACGCATCGTTCCCTTCCTTCTTCCGAATAAGCGTCTTGGTTTTGTTGGATCCGTATATTTAATGTCTCGTGATGCCGTTGGATATAATAAAAGTCGAGCATTTTTTAACTCTTGGGAAAAAAGGCTGATACTTGGCACCAAGCAAGGATGACCTAGACAAATTTGGAGCTGATACCGATAATGCATCACACTCGCCTTTGCATAACATACTTGGCCTTAAGCACAAAGACATGCATTTACATTTCCGATTTTGAGCATCCGGGGAATCTCTATTATACGTTTTCTCGCTATTTCATATATCCTGTAGTCCATATGCAAAAGATGAACACAAATGACGTATAAAGATGCACGCTCACAGAAATGGTTAGCATCACGCTGTCAATATGGAGAGGCACGGATCAAATGCTACAGAATTACCATATTCAACCAACAAGCGAACCACAAAAAAAGGCATCAGCAATGTCTAGATAAGCGAGTCTCGTGCCATCGGATGCTTTTCTCCACATACCCGTTCAGCCATTCATCATGAAACACAATTCTCCCCAAACATTCGTTCAATCGTAGTTGTAATCAAACAAGCAACAAACGCTTTATAATTTGACGTCGTATACTTTTGAAAGTTTTGCTAATGTGCTATCGTCCACAGATCCCTTTAGGCTCTTGATAAGACCTTCCAATGCTACAATGGGGGAAAAAATAAGGTTAACACGATGAAGGCTCCATTATTACCACCCATGACGCACCTGATTTATGCTTCCTATCCAGGAACATGACAAGCATGTCAATCCGCCGAACTTTGGTCAAGCCTTCCAAAACGTTGCAAATCTCATTGTTGGATTTATCCCTAACACATCACGCGTTAGCATTGCTACTCCAAGGATACCCTGTAGACAGACATACTTTGTATAACGCGTCTCCAAAAGATCAATCATTTGCTCAAATTGATCAGACTCGAGTGATGAGCGGAAAAGGGATTCATAGCTGGAAGGAGGAATGCACTATGTAGAATAGAATAGCATCCATGTTCAGTCAACTTCATCTCTTTCTCTCATAACATGATATTGCATACCTGAAAGTATTGATACAACGTATCCATTCCACGTTGTCGGCATGCTTTCCAATCCCTTTCAAATTCGATATTGGTCTTGGGTGGATTGAATGATATGGGCGATAACGTCAACGATGGCTTGGTTCCTTCACTCTTTGTTGGTGACTTGGTCGTCTTGGTTGCTGATGGTGGCGGTGGTGGTGGTGGTTGATTTTGTGAAGGCGTGGCTTGCACTGCTGGCTCTTTTGATGGGGTTGGTGTTTGCTTGGGTGGTGGTGTCACTGCCTGTTTCTTTACAGTATTCGTCGTCTCTGGGTATGCTTCATCCACAATCTTGATAGGGAGTCGTTTCCTCTCGATCTTGGGCTTTTCCTAATATCAACATGAGTTGATATGATGTGCATATCCTACATCTCTGAATACTAACCTCTTTCTTTGGCGTGGGGACAGGTAGTTTGCTCAATTCATCCTTGACAGACTTGTTGCTAGGTTCGATTTCCAACGCCTTCGTAAGGTCTAATATGACCTGTAAGCTATCATTTCTCGTTATCTCAAGATTCGACCTTACCATTTCTCGCTTCCGTTACTCGACCTAATGATCTTCTAGCAATACCACGCCGCCATAATGCCTTGACATTGGTTGGATGTAAATTCAAACCACGAGTACAATCCTGCTCTGCTTCCAGGTACCTATTCGATTCATCATGCTTGAGTCTTTCAGTATCTTAGACATCACGCATAATACATACATTTGTAATTTCAAATAAGCCATGGCACGATTGATAAAAAAGACAGCATTGCTCGGATCGAAATCAATGGCTTTGGTGTAATGAGTGATGGCGGCCTTGAAATCTTGTTTCTGGAAACATGCATTGCCCTGTGATGGAATATCAATATCGCATCCTAACACACATTTTCTCTTTTCACGTATAGTAGATAACTTACCTTGTCCTTTTCAAGCATTGCCTTTTCACTAGGCTTCATCCGTGGCCCAGATGCTGGCTCTTTGCCCTTATTCACTGGTGCTTTGCCCTGTACATGATACTCAAATCAGTACCCTTGTCAAGTCATACATCTTTAAACCAACCTTTTCTTCTACCATTGGACGTGTACGCATTGATAGAGCCTCTAGACCAGCTGGCTTGAGAGAATCGTTCACCACAATTTCAGACGCTTTTCGCACAGGTGGTAATTTCTTCAAGAACAAGGTGTCAGCATTTCAAGTTGGAGTAGTCGCGTTTCGTAGCATTGGGGTGTACCTGATTGTGAATGGGCTTTTGGCGTGCTAGCTGAGCATCTTTTTCATTCATGGAAGCTTCCCATTGGGTGAGATCACTCCAGATCGCGTCGAGGTTGCTCATGGTCGGGGAGAATGGTGGACAGCTGGAAGGAGTGGGGAATAGGAATTGGCTCAAGCTGGCTGAGTCTTGTACGTCAAATGTTGTGAGCAAGGAAGGATACGCCCTCGCCTACGATCCCCTTTAGATACTACCATCAAAATACATCATCATCATCATTGTACATGGACAACCAATAAATCATTATAAAGACACATGAGCATGCAATACGATACCTGTTTACTTATAATAGAACCACTTTTTGCTCGAAGGAGGATTTTATTTTGTTGTCAGTTTCATCGATAAGGATAAGAGACATTCGATCATCTTCCTACTTGTGAATCATCGATGTCTTTGTTTATCTTTGTTGTGTGGCTAATAAGAAAAAAGGCTTGCATGAAGATGGCTATGCTTCATTGTTCATCCTGAGCTAACCTTATCCAGATCTGGAAATACCTCGCCCTCTTGGTTCCGCTCATAATTCTCTCTTTTCTTGGCTTTGTTCTCGTCTACATACAACAACACCCCTTCTCTCTCCTCCAATGACGTCTGTACAATTCACTGTCGGAAGGCTCGATGCCGGCATGGTAAGAATGGTCTATTGGGTATGAATGCGGATGGCTCATGCTGACCACCCAACGCACGCGTTAGGCCATTCTCTTGACCGAGGACCACCATCTCATCGAGTTCCCCTCCTTGTTATTACCCAAAGGTGTATCGTCTGGAAGTATCGTCAATATCACTGTGAACCGCAATACGGATGATGAAGAGAAGAAAATGCACGAGTTTTGGGACTTGCAAGAAAACATCCTTACAAAGTTTGGTCGACATGAGCCCGTGAATCCTGTTGTACGCGTTCGAAATATCACACAGACGTCCCTGATTCTTGAATGGGATTCACTCGAGTTATATACAGCAAGCTTAAGATCCCTTGACGTATACAAAAATGACACAAAATTGGCACAGGTAATAGCAATACCATCTACACGATCCTCCTTCCCTCTTGGACTCATCATCATCATCATCCATGCATCATCAAAATAGGACGTTCCTACAGAGACCAACTTTATTAAGCTCTCTGGATTGGATGTTGATCATGAATACGAGTTCCACATCGTCATCAAGACAACAGCAGGCAGCTTTGAATCGAACAAGGTGACGGTGCGCACGCATAAGATGGAAGATTTGACGGGCATCGTGGTTTCATTTGGCGTCCTCGAGCAATCTGAAACGGTGATTCCTGAACTCAAAGCCTTGGTTGAGAAGCTGGGTGCATCATGGAGTGAGGAGGTTACAAGTGAAACAACCCATTTGCTGGCACAAGTCCCAAGAGGTGACAATTATGAGAAGGCCGTGAAACACTCCATCCCAGTGGTCAAGCCTGACTGGCTCATACAATGCGATAAGAACAACAAGATACAGGCAAGTGGATAGGATCGAGGTGCATGTGTGCACGTTTTTAACTCTTTTTTTTTCTATATCATAGCCTGCTCTACCCTATTACATCGTAAACGTTGCTCCTCCTACCACCAGCACAGAACATTAGATGATCACCTACCTCACCCTCTCCTCTACTTTTACCATCGCTTTTATTGTTCTTCCCTAACTACTGTGTTTATAAATTTACTTGCATTGTTGTCAGTAGCCTTTTCTTGATATGTATTCTCAACACGCTTAGCTCACATGCTTATCACAAACTCCCATGAAAGAAAGGAAAATGTAGAGAATGATACTTTTATCAAGGGTATGTGATTGTGCCATGTATCTACAATCTATAATGCTGTATCCAAAAGGGGGTTTGGCTGTATATGTATCATTACACCTTTGCCAACAAACGCTTATTCATCAAGAACCTTGTTCCCAAAACAGCCATCGCCGATGCTATGGTCATCGCACCCGTAAACTGAATAGCTGCGGTCCATCCATAGTGAAGATGTAAAGATCCCATGATCGGTGTTCCAGTCAAGATACCAAAGAGCGATAAAAAGTATGATACACCCACACCTTCTTGAATCCTATCAACGCCCACGATCTCCGCACTAATGACAGGCTGCAATCCACTAAAGACACCACCTGTAAAGCCAAAGAGTACGCAATAAATTACAAAGATGTGAATGGTGATTGCATTTTGCCAAATCACAGACGTGAAAATCCCTGTGTAACCATCATCATGGGTTAATGCATGAATTACGCTATTATACTTTACACGTACCAGATACGAGTGTAGTGAGAAAAAGAACATTAATGCGACCGAGCCATTGATCACCAAGCCAACCGAAAATGATACGTGAGGAACCATTCCCTGCTTCAAGAATCGAAACAAAGATGGCCGCAAAAGCAGGATCAGCACCTAGTTCGGATGCATAGGTTTGTGCTAGGATGAAGGGTGGAAGGTATCCAAAGGTCGACAAGAATGAATGTAGTAGGTAAAAGTTGTATTCCCACGTAAACATGGCTCGATCCAAGGATAGGATACGTTGCCACCATTTGGATTGTTTTTGTTTTTCGCTCTCCAATGATGACGACGACGATGATGGTGGTGGATACCGTGGTCGGATCAATACCACGCCTAGACAGCAAGTGGCAAAACCAATAGCAGCAAGTACACGTAGTGCGTTACGGTATCCCATATTTGTAATCAATGATTGTGTTAGCGGTGAAAAGACCATGGGGCCCACACATGCACCGCAACTTGCGATGCCACTCGCAAGACCACGCCTGCGAAAGAACCATTGTGAGGGTAATGTTGAAGAAGCGATATAGCAAAGACCAGCTCCAAAGCCAAACATGCACCCGAGCGTTAAGAAAACTTCCCATAGCTCAGTCGCAAAGCTAGCAAGAAGCTGACTAAGAGGACAACAAATGACAGCACCTATAAAGATGGTACCACGATAATGGAATCGCTGTATAATAGGCGTGCCAACCAAACCAAGAGCAAGAATGATTGCATTGGCTGATGTACCAACAAACGAAATACGTGCTTCATCCGTTTGCCCAGCATACACTTTGAGGTACCTTTGTCTTTTACGTTAGTGATCTTGTTGGTAGTAGATAGATGTAGTCATCTTTGCAAACAGCACACTTACAAGACTTGAAAGACGCCCCAGCTAGAGACAACGCCCCACGTATAAATGTTCAACAAGAACGTCCCTAACACCGTAAGCCATCCTGGATTCTTCAAGCCTTCTGTATAATACGCTTCTGGTTGCTTTGTAGTGTCATTGTAATAATCGTCATCAGGGCGTAACGTTCTCTCGTCAGGTGCGTGCTCCACTTCCGTCTCTTCCTTGTGCATGTATTCCTTATGCTGATGAAGATGACTTTTTGTGTTGTGATCCATGGATGATGATATGGTCGTTAAAGTAGACTCATGCCAATCGTTATCGTCTTGTCGACTAGCGACGGATCTTTTTGGTATGGTGTAGCCGCCACCATTTTCTACTGCTGGTGTTGCTGCTGCTTGTGCCAAGTCGAATTGAATACCCGTAGTAGTGCTTGTCATGGCTTTTTGATTCGGTGGATCAGTCATTATAAAAAGACAATTGTGTATATGCTAAAATGGAATAAGGATAAAAGAAAAGTGCAGAAAACACAAGTGCAGAAAAAAGCCATGTTGAAAGGAGACCACAATTTCTCCCTTTGGACCTGATGCCACGCATATTTCTCCTTCATCCACGCACTTGCGTTTCTTTTTAGTTACATGCTTGGTTGTGTTACGTATCATTCTGCTGAAGTAAATTGAGACGAGCCAACATAAAACATCATCCTATGCATCAACATGATCATTGCATTATCCCATTTGACCATTGGCGGGGAAGAAAGGACAATTGTTACTGGTCCTTAATGGATACGAACTGCTGCAAATGATTTGATCGACAGAAAAGGAGACGCGTGGAGCAAGGAATTTGGCGGTGGGCGATCCAACGTTTCATAAAAGGAGCTTTTGCCCAGAAACGGATTTTATGTCAAGCATTTGTACAACAATTTCAGGGACCGTCGATTCGACGTGTCATTTTTGTACATCAGCGAATTGGATCGTCACCCCTGCATGACGAAAATCACTCATACTAAATGGTATTTTTTGCAGTCTCCTTATCGTAGCAAGGATATTCAATTATTACTACCTACGTCGTAAGTGGTATAAAATGCTGATCGCAGCCTCGTTCTCAAGGCGTATATAAGATTCTTGGAGCTATGACGTTTGTAGACCTTTTCTCTTAGAAGAAGACTTGATGTGAATGCACAATGAGTTGTTTCCTTACATGTACATCTCACCAATGCATGTGCGTAGAAGTCACAACATGTTTCTAGGTGATGAAGACATTTGATAGCATCAAGGATTATGTCTCTTTAAAGTACAATTACTATTATTCTTATGATACGAAGTCGTTTAAAAGGAATAATGTCTATAGCATTGCAAGCAGACGTTTATTGAATAAGAACCTTGTTCCCAAACAGCCATTGCTGATGCCATTGCCATCGCACCAGTAAACTGAATAGCTGCGGTCCATTCATGGCACGTTGAAAATGGGGGTTGTAAAAAGTGTGCCCACTTTTCATCCACCTCGCCAATCGGACACGTTGTGTGCACCAGCTACGACATGTCCTCGTCCTTATTTCCGCTCATGCAGTCGACGCCATCCATTAGGAGAAAGCAACTCCATCACGCTTACGGCCATGTAAAACATAAAGATGCCCGTATCCCTAAACTTTACAATCAAATGAGGGGTCTTTATGAGGACAATGTTGCTCGGCTGGGTCCAGCGTACCTTGTGTGAAAGTGTGAAGTTCATCGTCGCCAATCCTAAATTTCGCAAAGTCACTACCAGCCAAAGTGGATCGATCTCTTGAATTATTTTCGACGACGACGAAAATATTTTTTGGCTGGTAGTGACTTTGCGAAATTTAGGATTGGCGACGATGAAC